GCTTTTGCTTAATTTACATGACTTGTAGGTTCCCTTCACAGCCCTGGCAATGAATCACCTAATGATTTAGGAGCGTCTGCTACAGCGAAACCACAGTAGTACGGATGTGAATCCTTGAGGACATTTGTAATCAATTTTTTGAGCATATAACCACCACAAACGTTACGAAAAACACTGTGAATAACACATAATGACATGTCAAGCCATGCCGTTATTTAACAGTACAATGACGCTGTCATGCGAGAGTTAAATATTGCCAATCGGGTTAAATACTCGAATTTAGTCTATCAATTATTGTCGAGAATCCACGACATAGTTACTCATACATCTATGTTTTTTAAAAGCTTTGTCCTGAATGACTGCCAATCATAGATACTTGAAACTTCACCTCGAGAAGTATGTGACACTCATACATTGAACTTTTTTGGCTGTAAAGACTTTTTCAAGTCGTTCCAAAATGTTTTTGTGCAATCGAAACAGTGCTATTATTTCATCAATATTTTCTACAATTAGCCTTCCTCACCGTGAATCATATTTTACATTAAAATTGCCAGAGCGATGTGATGTTACCCTAAAATTTAAATAACTGTAAATATATGTGCTTCTACATAAAATCTTTCCAATCCTTTATCTATATGACTTCATCGGCCCTTTTAGACTCTAACTCTGCATTGACACGTTGTTCTGCATTAAAACTAACCCTAAGAGCTTTAAATAATTCAGTAGTTTCCTGCTCGTTTTTCCATGTTATTTATAGTAGCTGATGAGCAAATCTGTAGCTGTTTAGCAAAAGCCGAAAGTTTAACCGCGAATTATGGCGGTCGGTTTTGGTTTCAGAGCAGTTCGAATTGTCACGTTGTTTTGATTAGCAGTCTGCTGGATTTTTCAATTATCCTCCGGGCACGCTCTCGGTCGGTTAGGGTGGATTCGTAGTCAGACAGAAAAAAATCTTTATTCTCATTGTGGTTCCAAAAGCAAAAAACGTGAAACTAGAAAAAGTCTTAAGTGATTGAAAAAATCGTTACTCCGGGGTTTTTGAGGTCGCTGGTTTTGATTTTCATCTTATTTCTTGAAAAAAAAAAAAATTAAATAAATATGAATTCAGATTAATGGATATGTGTACAAAAACATTTGAGTTTCAATGAAAATTTATTATTCAGTATTCATTAATACAAACTATAAAATTGTTGCTTAAAAAAGCATCTACTTTAAAAAAATAAGCAAGTTGGTGGCAAATTTTCTTCATTTTTTTTAAAGGAAAGAGAAATGTATCGAGAATACGAGAAAAAGAGTTGAAAGTCTTGGGGCTTTTGACTTATTCACTTTCTAATATTTTGTTCTTGAAATATTTAACCTCTTAAAACAGATTTCAATATATGTCTTTAATATACTTTCAATTAACTTACCTGTGGCTGGCGATTCCATGTTACAAATCTAAAATTCTTTACAATTCCGAAAAACACTGTCGATGTGATGCAGAACTGCTGTACACAAGTGACCCTCAAACGGGTCGTTTCTAACAGTAGACATACCAATTCAACTATTTTAGGTATTAAAAGTACCCAAATTTAAACTTTTTCTCCGGCTTTTGGCCACGTTTTCGGCTTTTGGCACCACTGTGCGCCTCCGAACGGTCGATGGATTTTTATGTGGAGCTTTCATGTCAGAAATACAATTGGAGAACTTGACAGTCGCCCAGCTAGAAAAATTATTTCTCTATAATTTTGAAAGTTGGTCTGGCGAGAATTTGAACCCATACGTTTTCGCATGGTTGTACGTACATATATCTTTATACACAGTCTTTTGTGTGTATAGACTATGTACATACACGTATGTTAGTATCTTTGTATTTATGTGTATGTAGTTGTATGTGCGCGTACATGTGAACGATTATTTTACTTTCCTTTGATGCACCTTTAAATAATGTTTTAATGTACTTATACGTCTTGTATACACACGTACATACGTATACGCATATATACATATATATTGTATTAATATTATTAATCTAACTGCTTTTTTATAATAATAAGTGGCCATATGACAGTTCAGTTGCAGTTGAATGATGTGAATAGATAATTTAATTGAAATAATTTAAACGCATACATATGTATGTATACGAGTATGTACGTATGCATATGTATGTATGTATGTATGTATGTATATAAATGAGAGTATGACAACATGATTAGTGCTATTCCACTTGTTTGACTAAACGCTTTGATGTTATCGCACCTTCGTCACTATTAACGACGTATATACAATACATATGTACAGTCAGCGCCAAAAGAAAGTGTACACCTTTTTCTCATACATTTCACACTGTACTTCGGTGTAAAAAATTGAAATTTTTTAAATCAATTTATCATCTACAAATGATTAAATATTGTTCTTACAAGAATTTAACAACAATCCAAAGAAAACTTTACAAGAACAAAAACAAAATCAAATAAGCTCCGTATTTTACGCATTAATAAAGGATTTACAAGTTTTTTTTTCTTCAAAGGAAATGGAATTTTTTTTAGATTAATGATCTGTTATTTATTAGGTCTAGTAAAATGTTCGTTCGGTTTTTATCTAAGAGATGGCGTTATTGTCCATAGGAATAGTGTTTACTTGTCGCATCATGTCATGCTATACGGCGCTGAAAAAGTGTTTATTCGCGCTAAAAGTTTGTCTTTGACAGTTAAGCTGTGTGTTTGGTGGGATTGGCAAGGAATCATCTACTACGAGCTGCTCCCCTATGGCCAAACACTCAATTCGGCCCTCTATTGCCAACATATAGACCGCTTGAAGGCAGCACTCATCCAGAAGAGCCCTTCTTTGATCAACATAGACCGAATTGTGTTCCATCAGGACAACGCCAGGCCACACACGTCTTTGGTGACACGCCAGAAGCTCCATGAGCTCGGATGGGAGGTTCTAACGCACCCACCGTATAGTCCGGACCTGGCACCAAGTGATTACCATCTTTTCCTGTCCATGGCGAACGCGCTTAGTGGTGAGAAGTTGACTATTTTTCGTACAAAAATCGTTGCAATTGTAGTGATGTTCGCGTTTTCTGCAACAGATATTCTAGCGATTCTATAAAATCATAAGGATACATATAATATATATGTACATGTATGATACAATGCGCAAATCCGCTCAAATTTGTTGCTTGCTACTTTCTTTAATTTAATTGTTTGTAAATACATATATATATATGTATATATATGTATAAATTAGTTAAATTCTGTAGAGAAAATAATACTCGAAGCACTCGGGAACGTGTCCGTAGCCCGTGGATGACTATCGTAGAATGCACTAAATGCACAATGCCGAAATCAGCTGTTTTCTCTTCATTACATATATGTAAATATGTAAATATATTTACAAATTATAGCGGCCACAAAGTGTATGTGTGTATTTGGTATAATTTGTTAGTTTACATCCACACAATGTGCCCATTCGTCTGTCTGCTATACATATTTATACACCATTCGTTTTGTTACTATAAAAATAAAAGTTGACGAAATGATTTTTTATCGTTTCGGCGCCATGTTACGGAATCGAAATGAAATTGTTAAAGTTTGTGCCGCAAAAACTCAACGTTAATTTTAAATGGGCTGCCTGCCTCTAACAATATCTGTAAACGATTTAACATTAACTGTTAACAATTTAACATTATCTGTTAACAATTTAACATTATCTGTTAACAATTTATCATTAACGACGTTTAACATTATCTGTTCTCGATTTAACATTAACGACGTATAACATCATCTGTTAAGGATTTAACATTAACGAAGTTTAACATTATCTGTTAACGAAGTTTAACATTCTCTATTAACGAAGTTTAACATTATCTATTAACGAAGTTTAACATTATCTGTTAACGATTTAACATTATCTGTTAACAATTTATCATCAACGACATTTAACATTATCTGTTAAGGATTTAACATTAACGTTAGCTGTTCGTAGCGGGTAACAACGGATTAAAAATGTATTTTGTTAACTGCTATAGCGATGACATTTCCAAATAATTCTAAAGAATCGATTGAAATTTTCTGATTTACATATGTATGTGCAATTTATCGTTATAATTCAGCCCTGTTATACATACATTCATCTACATGAGCAAGCAGAAGGAGACGAATAATTTAGATTTTTCATATTACTCACTGTAGCTTCTGCAGCCGCCGCCGTGCCGTCACGGTGGTCAGCGACGAGCTATGACCACGTTCGTGAGTGTTTCCAGCATAAATTATTTTACTCTCCGATACTTACATTCAATGCACAATGGTGTATTATTATCTGTGCCGTTATGTCATAACATATTAAGTCCAAAAATCGTATTTTGAGATATTTTAACGATACTGTGTAAAACCTGTTGCATTAAAGTTTTAGAAAATTCTTTTAGTCTAATAAACAGTTTAAAGGCAAATTTTCAAAATCATTTTTTAAAACATTTTTTTTGGTTCGTTTTTTTATAGACCTAAAGATGGATGATATCTAAAAAGATATATTTCAACACTTGCAAAATTTTAATATAATCAGAAAACTTTATACTCACTTAAATTATGGAAATCTGTAAAATTATTTTCAAAACTAAAAGCTTTAATTGAAAATTTAAATTTGCTCAAAATTTTTTTTAGTAAATATTGAGTTTATATTGACATAAGATTATATAAAACAATCCTCAATAAGCGTTTAGACACATGAAAAAAACTGAGCTGTACTTAAGATCGTAACAAATATGCTAAAAAATAGTGGGATCTCGAAACGTAAAACTCGATTTTTTTTTCAAAAACGTTGAATTCAAAACCAATTTGGTTTAAAATATGCATTGCAAAAAGAAGATAATCACTCAATATTGGCTTAACTCAACTTAAGATATTATAAAATATTGTCAACGATATTATATATGTATTCTAAGATGTACATAGATATATGTATTTGCACTTACATATATGAGTTCAAATAACTATATAAAAGTTATTGTATAGACAATTTTAATTCAGTAACAATATTCTTCTGGCGACAAGAACATATGTAAGAGAAGAATTTTTCGTTCAAACAAATACAAACATATATTTTTTTTTTTGAATATTCTAAATGTAATTTTATGTTCATTACAATCCCCAATCTCGTTAGTTCTATTAATCATAGTAACGAGTGGATTACTTAAAAATATCAACACAGAGAGTGAAAACTTATCCAAATACAACAGAGCGCGCCAAAAAAGTTGAAAATTCATTTATTGATTTAATGAAAGTTTTCAGCTTCATTTGTTTAAAATTATGAATGTAGAATTTTAGTACTAAAATAACAAAAATCTATTTTATCTTTACAGACGCATTATGGATTTTTACTACCTTCCAGCGTCTGCACCTTGTCGTGCCGTCATCATGACCGCTAGCGCGATTGGCATCGAGTTAAATAAGAAATACCTAGATCTATTTGCGGGCGAACATTTGAAGCCCGAGTTTCTCAAACTCAATCCTCAACACACCATTCCCACCTTGGTGGACAACGGTTTCGCTATCTGGGATTCCCGTGCAATAATCGTCTATTTGGCTGAGAAATATGGCAAAGACGACAGCCTCTATCCCAAATGTCCTAAAAATCGCGCTGTTGTAAATCAAAGATTGTATTTTGATGCTGGCACCTTGTATCAGGCATTCGTCGAAGCTTATGTTGAAAAATATCTTTTCGAAAAACCCATTACCGAAGAAAAATATAAGAAGATTTCTACCGCTTTTGAGTTTTTGAATACATTTTTGGAGGGCCAGACCTACGTGGCTGGGAGTTCATTGACTTTGGCCGATATTTCATTGTTGGCAACAGTGTCGTCATACGAAGTGGCCAAGTATGACTTTAGTAAATATAGTAATGTGTCTAGATGGTACGAGGATTTAAAGAAGGTCGCACCTGCCTGGAAAGAGAACTGGGCGGGTTGTTTGGAATATAAAAAGCTTTTAGAACGTTAAATTACAAATCAAATAGATATAATAAAATTTGTTACCTCTAGAATTATATAATTTAATTTTTCATCTGCAAAAAAAAACAAAGAATAAAAAGAAAAATTAAATAGACTTTCAGTTTCCTTCGGCGGCTACACCATCGAAAACTCTAAGAGCTGGAAATGTCTTTTGATTCGCTGACCAATGTCGAGGTCGCCGTATAACTCTTACAGCTCATATTTACCTTGGCTGCATTATTCGTCGTTCCCAAATCGTAGAAGACCGTAAATCGTTCGCAAAATCTTTCGTTTATAAACTTCAAACGCCGCCTTATCAGAAGTTGCCATCGGATATTCGTAAGCCATGTAAAGTTTGGTCTTTGTCCGTCCAAAGAGGACTACACTTTTCAATTGTCTACTCAGTCCAAAGTAGCAGCTATTGGAAAGACTCTGCGTTGGATTTCCATTGTTTGTGGTTAATATTGGTGATGTTCCAAGATAGAGGACCAGACCCATATCCAATCGAAGCTTGCTTTAAAATATGGTGTGTATCAATCTTCTTTTCATGGGCCGCATGGTAAATATTTGATCAATGGTTGACTTACCAGGTCTAAAGCCACACTAATAAGGTCCACTCAACACCCTTGATAAGACCATATATGCGATACTTCTGAGGCTTAATCCATAGTTATTGGTGCAGATAATGGGATACCTCATTTTTGATTTAGGCAAATCTCATTTAGGTTCCATTCAGCGGGCATGCTTTCTTCTTTTCGATCATAGTTTTCAAAGCTGATGCATGTACCTCGCCTCTTATTCGCTGACATCTTTGAATAGTTCGGCTCTAGAGTCTTCAAGAGAAAAGTTTTGCGAACGACTTATGGTCCTTTCCGCATTAGCACTCGCCGCACATGTAGTTCAGCGAGTAAAGAGACCACGGCTACGCTGACTGGGTCATGTGGCCCGGATGAATAAGAATACTATAGCTCTGAAAGTTTTCGAAGCAGTACCCGCCGTTGGAGATAGAGAATGTGTGAGGAGACCTCCACGCCGTTGGAAGGATCAGGTAGAGAGCGACCTGGCTTCACTTTTCATTTCCAACTGACGCCACACAGCGAATAGAAGAAATGAATGGCGTGCTAGTATTGACCGCGATGGCGATCGACAATCCAAACAAACAAACATCGTGTTCGCCATTCCTTGCTGATCCAATTTCACTGTCATTCAGTAGGCTGGATAGGCGTATATACATATGTCAGCAGTCATAGTGTTACGTGTCGCATCATGTCATACTATACGGCGCTGAAAGCGTGTTTATTCGCGCTAAAAGTTTGTCTTTGACAGTTTTGCTGTGTGTTTGGTGGGATTGGCAAGGAAGCATCTACTACGAGCTGCTCCCCTATAGCCAAACGCTCAATTCGGCACTCTACTGCCAACAACTGGACCGCTTGAAGGCAACACTCATCCAGAAGAGCCCATCTTTGATCAACAGGGGCCGAATTGTGTTCCATCAAGACAACGCCAGGCCATACACGTCTTTGGTGACACGCCAGAAGCTCCATGAGCTCGAAGGGGAGGTCCTAATACACGCACCTTATAGTCCGTACCTGGCAACAAGTGATTGGCATATTTTCCTGTCCATGGCAAACGCGCTTAATGATGAGAAGTTGGCCTCGAGAGAGGTCTGGGAAAATTGGTTCTCCGAGTTTTTTTTTTTTGCTAATAGGGATGCTGCCTTCCACGAGAGGGGTATAATAAAATTGGCATTTGATTAGCAACAAGTTTACGAACAAAACGGCGCGTAAACTCGAATTTTATCTAAAGAAAAAATACCTCAGCCGCTGTGACATTCAAACGACAAACATTTTAAGCTCTTTCTTTACATACCAGAATATATATAAAGAAATTTAATATTTTGACTAATTGAATTTTAATTAGGACTTTTCATTATTCATTGCGTTTCACCTTCTTTACAATATCCATTTCAATAAAAAATGAACGAAATTCCGGTGTGTGGTTAACAAACATAAATCCACAACAAGTGGCTCTCCAACAATGTTCTGCTCAGTCGTTCGTACATACTGATATGCTTGCCCATATACACATACATGTGTATGTATATATGAGTATGTATGTCAATTGGACATTGTCGTTTTTTATAGAAGAGTTTAACGAATAATTGTTTGCTAACACTCTTTATTTATAATTCAGCCGCTCTCAAATGAGTGTGTAATGCTTTTCAATTGACCATCACCTAATGCCTTAATGAAAAAAAGCTCTCTCTCTTAGTCGAGCTTACTGCAGTGTACGAGTACTCAAATATGCATGTTTATGCCAGCTTTGTGTATAAAATTTCAAACTGATTAAAAGAGATATCTAGCCCACTGCTAGAATAACTTGTGGGAAATATCACCAGTCCTAAAAGCATGAGGCCAGTACCAAGTACTAACTTATGGGGTATGGCCACAGTAGCGGGTGAAAAACCATGCGCAAATGTAATATTTTTTTTGTATGGAACTATTATTTATTCATGAAAATAATCACATACCGATGAAGTTCGGATATAAAGCTTATGAGAAACTATTTTTTTTAGATTTTTTTCCGGCACAAAATGGCCGATATTTCTGAGCTCTTTTTCATCCATTTTTTTAAAGCGCTCCACGGCGTGACATTTTGCATCTACAATTCTTGTCCTGGAACACACCAAAAAAAAATTTCGTTAATCTGCATGAAAATAGCTATAGAAGTACGTAGGGGATTTCAAAAATATTGATTTTTATGGAAATTATAAGGATTGGAACAGAAAACGTGCATTTTTAGTCAATAATTCTGTAATGGACTAGTCATAACAAAAAAAGTACTTGATTAATCGAAAATCCACTACGGAATGCAATAATAAACTTGATGTCAAAATTTGAAGTCAATTGGATCGAAATTGTACAAATTATTTGTCACGCCAATTCAAAAGAAAGTGTTTTGAGAAAAACGCGTTTAAAGTTTCACATATAAGTTAGCCGAGCCGGAGGTGGGCTTTCGATATACACCTTCAATCAGTCAAAAATGATTATTTCATTCTGGGTTAAATGGCATATCATTTTTTTGACTATAAAGCATAGTTTAAGCAAAAAAAAAACGATTTTTTAAAAATTCTACTGTGGTCATACCCCTTATTGCTACCTTAAAGGATTTTAAAATGATTTTTTTACTTCAAACATGATGACATAATAAAGTTAAAAAAACTAAAATTATTTCAACTTAAACGAATTTCACTAATTTAATTATTTTTAAAAATACTGGAAGACTTGTGAAGAATACTTTTCTGTACAATATAATAATTTGTATAATCAAAAAGTTGTTGTTTCTTTTAAGGCAATTATATAATGTATGCACAATACATAAAAATATATTTTCAACGTTTTTTGAACAAATGAAAAATTATTTATTATTGAATACAAAATGATTGCTTCTATGTTATCCCAATGTCACTACTTTGATTTACTTTAAAATTGAACAAATAAGAATAGCTTGTAGTTATGTGTATGAATATAACCGTATTGTCAAACACAATAATAGACTAACATGATGCAGCGATCGACGATTTAAATCCTATCTATTCTCGTCGATCTGTTGACATGTGATCACCTTACTGGAAAGAGAGTATTATATACACATACCTGGTAGTACAGACGGCCGCGACAGCGGTATGGTTAGCATTCCAGTCCCTCCATTTCCAACATTTGTTTATCTAGACAAAAAAGAAAACTTTGTACAACCATATAATAAAAACATGCAAAAAGAAAGCGCCATTTCATCTAATCCAAATGATTCGCCAACAACAAATCCTTTAGAACAGTCTATCATTAACAGAAAAGTAGCCGTCACAGAGCTTCCAGTAAATTGGCTTAAGGGGCACAGCTGGTGTAATGGCCTAAATAAATTTGACATTTTTTACCCAAAATTTTGGTCGTTTTTGGCCTGCCAAAATTCGATTTTTTGATCAAATCAAAAATCGATAGGTCATTGTACGGAAAACTATATATATAATAGAACATGTAAACAAATGATCGTTTTCACTCGTAGCTAATGAGACTCTCTAGCTGGCGAGCGGCTGCTCTTTAAATTGCTATAACTCAAAAACTATTTGAGATATCGATTTGAAATTTTAATATGTTATTTTTAAAGGTCTAATCTACCGAAATATAGAAAATCGATCGATTTTTTTTAAATTTCACGCTAGGTGTGCCCTTAAAATACGCCGGATAAAGTTAGTAAGAAGCCAAACCCTATCATATACAATTTAAATGTGACTATAATTAAGGTACAGAATTTCAAGCCATTAATATGAGAGAATCTTTAGTGGATATACCGCGAAATTTGAAAAATATACTGGGTGCATCATCTTTTATGTCGGTATGTAAACGCTGAATAACTTTCACATTTACCAACCGAGCGATTGCATCAGATATGATATGGAAACGTCAATTCAGTACAATTTTGCCAGAGATCGCTTCACACCGAAACAATGCGCTGAAATAGTGACACTTTACATCGAAATTTGAAAAGCAAGGTTTCCGCCAACCAGCCTCAAACTATTGATGAGGAAAGATAATTGCTAATAAAGGTGTATAATAACTAACTCTTATGTAATAAAAAACTTAAATTAAATATGTAAAGACTAAATTACTATGTTCAGTTGACAAATCAATTAACTCCACCAGTCAAAAAAAAAAGGCATTATTACTATCGATTGTTTGATGGCCATTCTTTTTTATTTATTTTATACACCGTTAGATGAAAACTATATCTGCAATCATGCAATCTATATTATATATGGACTGGAATTCATATTATCAGAGGCATTTTTTAAAACATTATACATTACATCATGTCGCTTTACAACTTTTCGTTTAATGGAGTTAATCGATGTGTGCACTGAGCGGCTCATATAATATATAAAGGCTGTATATATTTAATAATTCTAATGTATTTTATGATTCATTGAAAAATCAAAACTTATCTTTTCTATTCGAATGAAATTTTGCGTTAATTTTGGGACACCCTATAGAAACAGACAACCTTTTTTTCTATAAGACAATATGAATTTTACTAATGTTAATAAATTAATGATTTTACTTCCGAATGTAATTGCCTGATAAGAAATTTTATCATAATCAAATTTAAAGAGAAATATGATAAATCATAGGCGGCCGTTGTTGCCGAGTGGTTAGCATTACGTAACTCTCAAGAGTTGTAGAAAATTTATTTAAATAAAGAAATTAAATTTTCTAATTACGGTCCCCCCTCGGCAAGGAATGTCCATCACTCCGAATGTATTTCTGACATGACATAAAGGCTCCTCATGAAAAACCATCAGTCGTTCGGAGGCGGCTTAGTATAAACTGTATCTCCATTTGTTGGAAAAACATCAAAATTGCTTCAGCGGCTACCAAGCGCCAATTATTATATCATATATATACAAAATATCGCGTTCATTCGTTCATTTTTCAAACTAACCTTTTGATATTTCAATATATGTTTCGCCCGTTTTTAAACTGGTTTTAGGCTCTGAGCATAGTTTTGAAGTATTTAGGTACATGTACAATTTACTACTGGGAGGTGGGTCAAACTTTCGAAATATGTACATGTGTGTGAAAATATAGATGCGTATCTACAAGAACACGCAATGTTTGTACTGAAAATTAGTTTTTGCTGAATCACTATGACTTTCAATAATTGATATGGGAACACTTGGAATTGGTCCAAGCAATGAGGCATGAGTAAAGCTGTTTGTGACTCTCTGACGTTTGTACGTATCTACATACATATATATGCATGTATGTATATTTGTAGCACTATATAATGTCATTTAGCAGTTGCTTTATTATCTCATGAAATTAAATAAAATAAAACAGATATGAGTATACATAAGAGGTTTGTATATATACATACATACATACATATGTACGTATATACAGAAATTTATTAAATAAACTGAATATAATTTCCCAATTTTATAGAACAAAAAAACACAAATTTAATGAGAACCAAAATATTTTTATTGGGAATTTGAATTAAGTTCTTTTGTGATTTTAATTGAGTTGTGAAATCAAACGATTTTTTTTAATTTATTATCTATTAATTAAAATTAATATACGAATTAAGTTGAAAATTAATTTTAAATATTATTATTAATTTTAAATATTATATTATATTTACATTATGCGATCAGCGTGTGGGGTTAACAGAAACTAACAGTCTTTTTTATCCATCTTCACAAGAGACAATGGATCGTTCCGTTTTGGAAGTTAAAACCTTTCGTTGCTTGCTTGGACATGAATGGTATAGAGACATCGGCTTTACCTAGCACAGCTCTTCTTTTCTTGTTTTTCCCATTAAAAGCTTCTTCATATAATATATTTACAGATATATGTATGTATATGTATGCTTCATACACTAATGGGATATGCTAATTAAACTCCTACAATATGAATAAATATGTTCTATACAAACGAGGTGTAAACAGAATATAACCGTTATTTTCAATTTTTTCAAAAAGTATTTATTTATTCACTAATAACTATCTTGTCCCCTTCAAAGTAATCCTTCACAGATCTAATACATTTGTTTCCAATCTTCGAAACTCTTCAGAAACGCGGTTTTGTGTCGCCAATAGGTGCTGTTTCGATTTTGATTTTATCTCCTCGATCGTAGCACATCGCTTTCCTTTCATCGGTGTCTTCTGTTATGGGAAGGGAAAAGAGTCAGCGGGAGCCAAGTCCTGTGAATAAGGTGGTTGAGACATAATAACGATTTTGTTTCGGGCCAAAAACCCACGCAGAAGCATCGATGTGTGAGCTGTTGCGTTATCAAGGTGCAAAATCCATGATAGTATTTTCCACAATTCTGGGCGTTTCTGACGAATCGCTTCGCGCGAACGTTGCATAACTTCTAGGTTATATCCCTTATGGACTGTATGACCCCATTACTATAAAGATTCGATGATTATCCAATTATTTTCTTCACTGCTTCAATGTTTTCATCGGTTGTTGACGTGCTCGGGCGAACAGAACAAGCATTGCCATTGACATCTACTCGGCCTTCCTTACACCTTAAACCGGTTATACCACAATTAAACTCGTGTTCTGCTCATAGTAGACTCGCCAAACGCCACAGTTAACATTACAAATGTCCTTGCGCATTTAATTCCATTTTCGACACATAACTTAACACAGTTTCTTTGATAATTTTTTTCAATTAGTAAGAAAATCGAAAAGCACACAAAACACCACTAACCTTTTCATCTGTCAAAAACAAACTGACAATCCAAAATTGCTGATATTGCCAACATATGTACATATATAACAGAAATGTGTACCAACATAACAGAAAAAAGTGAAAATCGAACATACGTAACTCACGAAATTTGAAAATAACGGTTATTTTCTGATCACACCTCGTATATATAAAATACGTGTGTGTAGCATATTTGATATTTGAGCACCATGATTTCTCCAGCTGTTCTCAATCATGTCGGTCGTACTCTGAGATACAAAACGAATTTCACAATTCAAAATGTTAAGCGTAAAAAACAAGAAAAATTTCACGTTAATCAATAAAATTTCAATCGAATTTATGTTTATCAGTTTAATTGACTTACCTCAGCGGTTCTCAAACAATTCTCTTAACAATCGTTGAGCACAATATTTACGATATTTCTCTCTTCTTTTCACACTTAACAAAACCAATGATTAAGGTTTGTTGTATAACTATATATTTTTACCTTTTACTTACAATTCAGCGGTTCTCAAATTATGCGCTCACAATCGAAATTTTTTTGTTTTAAAAAATTATGAGTGCACAACATGATGTCATCGCTATTCTGGACTAACTACGTTCTGTGCTTTAAAAAAAATGTGAGAGAAAATAACTGTAAAATAGCGTTTGGAAGCCCCTGATTCATTTAGGTTTCTATTATATAAACACACACAAATATAAATTACTTCATTTCTTTTCCTTTTTTAACGGTTTGTGTTAATATAATAGATTTAATTCTAAGTTTTACAGTTATTTTATTATTGACACATTATTCAATATTTGTAACTGAACTAAATAACCATATTTACTGTAATTATAATAATAATATGTATGTATACAGCCACGTTCGTTATTACCGATAATATGTACATACTATACATACTTATATAAAATACATAGATTATTTTCTTTGATGCCAACCAAAAATTTCTCTCTTCGATTTCTACTATTTTAATCGCGCTTTCGTTTAGAGTTTCATACAGTTACTCACGGAAGTATTTCGCTTGTGGTATAAATACTCGTATATATGTATGTATATTTATACTCCAAATTTCTAAGCGTGTATGGCTTCGCAACAAATTTGTATGTTTCAAAGTATATTTTCAATCCTGGAGCGTACGCCCAATGGCGTTCACAGAAAGTGAGGGTTAGAAACGCATGTCAAATATAATAAAGAAAATTATAAAAAAAAGAAACTAAAAATGTACATATGTATTTTAGCTCTGAACGTTAAGTACAAGCCCAAAATAACGGAGGAAAAAATTCATAGCGCGACTTGTAGTAAGGATCTTCACGTCTGCTTTCAATTCAAATAGCACCAATTTTTGTTCTATTGTTCTTGTGTAAACTTAAATTTAAAAGCCTTGCGATTCAAATCTTTATGCCAAATACAGTGTAATAACGTTTGTGGAATGACGAGGATACTCTTCAATATTTTAGGCTACAACAGCAATATTCTCAGTTCGTTTTGAGTGAAGCACACGTAATTTATTCTTCACATCACTGACTTGTTCCAAAAGCTAATTGTTTCTGTATTGCCTTCTCGGAGCTTCACGATGGCCGAAAAATATTTTAGTTTTACGAACCGTCCTGCCGGATTTTCGCCATTTTTTTTTTGTGAATTGTAATAATTTCAATGAATAGCTAAAGCGTGTATTGTTGCATTTTTATTACTGGCGTAGTTTGTACTTGGCGGCCGGGTAGCCGAGTGGTTAGCATTGCGTACTGCCATTCGGAAGGCTCTGGTTCAAATCTTCGTGTCGTACTAGCATCCAAAAATTATAGAAAATTAATTTAACTAAAAAATTAAGTTAAATGTACCAATTTCGGCCGCCCCTCAGCAGGGAATGTCAACCCCTCTGAGTGTATTTCGGACATGAAATAAAAGCTCCTCCCAAAAAAGCCATCAGCCGTTCGGAGGCGAATTAATATAAACTGTAGGTTCATCGATTTATAGGAAAAACATCGAGAATCAAAAACCACAAGTTGGAAGAGACGCTCAACCAAAAGTCGCTTCAGCGGTTACAAATCGCCAAATACAATATATATATATATAGTTTTTTATAAGTCAAATGTCTAAAAGTTCAAAAGTGACTTCCTCCGGAATAGACTATTCAAAATAACGTCTGTTAATGAAAAACTCTATCACTATGGAGTCATTGAAAAATTTTAAAAATCAAAGATATTCTTAAACACCTTCATAAGCAAAATACTTCTGGCAGCAACTGTATGTGTTTCAAAGAATGTTTTTAGTAAAGCGTGTGACAAATTTCTCTTAATTTTTGCTTCCTCTTCACCAAATATGCGTTATACTTTAAAAGAGAGCACCAAAAAAAAAATGTTGTGTTCTCCAAAGTTTTTGTTTATCTGTAATTAGCTTGGAATAGGAAAATGCAAGTCATTTCATACAGAAATTTTGGTATAAAAGAAATGCTCGACAAGGGTGAACTCAGTTTCTGCGAATTTTTCCAACTGATAACCAAAAGTAAAAGTAATCTAACAAATTTCGGTAAATAAAAAATAAAAGTACTATGACTGTGACTAACTTGACTTTAGGTTATACCTAGAACTACATAGAAGAAAACATGTTGTGTGCGTAAGAAAGGTGTTTTTCAAATTCGGTTTTATTTTAAACTTCGATTTGTCCGTTCTGACGTTATTGGTCGCATTTAGAAGTTACTTTCACGGTTATTTTTGTTATAAGATTCACTGATAGCCCGCGAGCCTTCTTCATTCAATTTGTCACATTAAATTGTGTTTTTGATGATCTAAAAAGGGGGTGAAGACTAATGGAATCGGTGCTCAGAAGGCAGTTATATATAAACTTCATCTTATTGGTTTTTTGCAATCATTTATTTATGCAGCAAAACCGTCAAAAAGGTGTCTCATTGTGAGCCATTTACTGGTCACCTATCAAAACAATTATTATTTGAAGGAGTTACTTTTAAAATTTATTTCATACTCTTGAATGTTTTCATTGAGTTTTGGATGTTAGTATGACATCAGGATTTGAACTCGAGCCCTCCGAATGGCAGTACGCAATCCTAACCACTAGGCTACAGCGGCGACCTTGGACGAAAGTCGCTTTAGCGGTTACAAAGCGCCAAGCACATATGTGTGTATATACATATAAGTTTAAGCTACAAAGTTTCCCTGCCGGGAAAAAAACTAGTTGTTAACTAGAATGCAACTACGCGTATTGTAGCTAACATTTTTACATCAACTAGTTCATCGATTTCATGATCTGGTAACTGTCATTTGTCAGTCTGTGCATCACCAGTTAATATATACCAGTTAAAATACTGGTTGGTTCATACCAGTTGAGAGCTAATATGCATCTTGCTAGTCAACAACTAGTTCAATTGATTCCGGCATTTCAAACGGCTGAATCGATTTCATGATTTTTTTTTTGTGTGTGCTCAGGTAGATTTGGTGGATACTTTCACGGACCAACTAATTTCAAAAACGCACTTATGGCTCACTTTACTGGATATTTGGTGTATTATTTATTTTCAGGAAGTGGATCAGATATCGATCTATTTATTTTAAGCTTAATTAGAACCGTTTATAATTTTTTTTTTTGCAATAGAACAAAGTTTAAAACTATGAGCTGGTGTGGTTGCTGTTGTTGCTTCTGGTAACTTACGAGTCCATTTTTTTTTGCAAAGCAACAAACTGGTATGAATTTGTTCACAAAATACTAGTTCATATACTAGAAACAAATCCAGATTTTACCGAAATATACTATTATAATTCTGGTATATACCAAACTAGTATATTTTTGTTCTTTAAATACTAGTATAATTCTGGCTTACAAAAAAGTAATTTCCTTTCAAAATACTAGTATTTAAGTAGAATTCTTGATTACTAGGCTAATCTATTCCTGCAGGGTTGCTACGTCTATATCTATTGAATGCTCTACAAAAACTTCCTTGTACTTAGCCGAGTAATATAGTTTGGGAGTAGAATTTAATGCGATTTCATATTACAAACCATCCAAAGACTCCTTATAGACGTTTTTGTGTTTTAACGAAATAAATAAATTGGTAATCAGTATTCCAATGAAATTTGAAATAAGAAGACGGTTTAAAATAGATTCCCATTTAAAAAATGTTCGAATTATTGTAGTTTTGGATTTTCGAAAAGGTGTTTTAAATCTTCTAAACATCATTCAAAATTCTCAAAATTATTAAACGAAAATCAAAATATTTTTTGAGTAATGTAATTGATTTCAATTTTTAATATTTATTTAATTAAACTTGTATTTTCAGCTACAAAATGGATTTATACTACGTTCCACCTTCTGCGCCATGCCGTGCTGTCCTAATGACCGCTAAATCTTTGGGTATTGAATTGAATAAGAAATTTTTAAATTTATTTGCTGGCGAACATTTGAAACCCGACTTCCTTAAACTAAATCCACAGCATTGTGTTCCCACTTTGGTGGACAATGATTTTGCCATATGGGAATCGCGTGCCATAAATATTTATTTGGTGGAGAAATATGGAAAAAATGTTTCGTTATATCCCAAGTGTCCGAAGAAGCGAGCTGTTATAAATCAACGTTTATTCTTTGATGCCAACTCCATTTACCAGGCTTTCATCGATACATATGTAACGCAATATCTCTTCAAGAAACCCGTCGATGCTGAAAAGTACAAGAGAGTTGACACTGCCTTTGAGTTGTTCAATAAATTCTTAGAAGGTCACGCCTATGCTGCTGGGGATGAATTGACTCTGGCCGATATATCATTGCTAGCAACAGTATCGTCATATGACGTTGTGAATCATGATTTTAGCAAATATGAAAATGTTGCCAGATGGTATGATAATTTGAAGAAAACAGTACCCGGTTGGGAAGAGAACTGGGCAGGATGCCTGGAATATAAGAAATTGTTGGGCTTATAAATTTATGTATTTATGTCTGATATAATTTTATTTAATGAGTTTGAAAATTTGTGTGTTTGAGTGTTAATTGATTTGTATTAAAATAAGAAAATAATATTATGTTAAAAAATTGAAAAAAACACTGTTGTTTTACTGAATTCTAGATCTTTATTTTTTCGTGGGCTTGATATATTAATGTTTTCTAACTATAATTTATATTAATAGTTCAAGTTAAAGTTTCCAACGGCAGATCTGAAATAGGGTTTCGTTCGATTATTTAGAGAACTTTGAGCCCAGTACTTCGATTTTTCGGTAAATATTGAAGGAAAAATGTGACGTGGTTTTAGTTGGCGGACGGAATTCATTTTTTTCAGGTTGTGATTCTTTAACCAAAGGATTTATGGGTTGTTAAAATAATTTATCGATTTTAATATTTACTGTACTTTATTCGCTATTGTCGTACACCACTCGATAAATCGCTTACTAAGCGAGTGAATTTATCAGCGTCATGGATTTTATTTACCCGAGTCTAGGTACAAATCCGATTATTTAGTGAATTTTGCGAAAAAATTCAGTGGGAGAAATCTATCTTGGCGCACCGAGTTCATATTTTTGAGTCTTTTATTTTATCGAAAATAAAAAAACCAAGAAATGTACTGTAGATAAGCCTGCATATATGCACATATATGAGATGTGATCAGAAAATAACCGTTATTTTAAATTTTTTCAAAAAGTATTTATTTATTCACTAAAAACTATATTGTCCCCTTCAAAGTAATCCCCTTAAGATATAATACACATTTTTCCAATCTTCGAAACTCTGCAGAAACGCGTTTTTTGTGTCGCCAATAGCTGCTGTTTCGATTTTGATTTTACCTCCTCGATCGTAGGAAAACGCTTTCCTTTCATAGGTGTCTTCTGTTATGGAAAGAGGAAAAAGTCAGCGGGAGCCAAGTGAATACGGTGGTTGAGGCATGAAAACGGTTTTGTTTCGGGCCAAAAATGGCCAACTGTGTTCGTCTATAATCGCGTAAGCAGTACCTACGCCAGTAAAAAGAAGAAGACATTAGAAGTAAATTATACATATGGACGTCACAAATCACAATATATTGCTGTCAATCAGTTATGAAACCAAATTAAATGGTAAATTTTGATTGCCGTTGACACCACTATCGTGATTATAGCCGAATCAATCTTAGAGTACCATACCTCTCTTTTTTTCGCTATCGGACACCAGTTGGAAATACCATGTGAAGCCAAGTTACTCTCCATCTGATCCTTCGACCGCAATGGAGGTCTTCCTCTTCTTCTGCTTCAATCGGTCGGTACTGCATTGAATACTTTCAAAGCTGGAGTGCTTTCATCCATTCGGACGACATGACCTAGCCAGCGCAGCCGCTGTCTCTTAATTCTCTGAACTATGTCAATATCATCAAATAGCTCGTACAGCTCATCGTTTCATCGTCTGAATTCACGGCGCAGTTGTTGAAGCCAATAATGTCAATATCATCGGCCTACGCCACCAGCAGTACACTTTTATAGAAGATTGTACCTTCTCTATCCAACTCTGCAGTTCGTATTATTTTCTTCACCATCAAATCGAAGTAATCACACGACAAAGAGTCACCCTCTCTGAAACCTCATTTAATATCGTCCGGCTCAGAGAGATCTTTTCCGATACTGACGGAGCTTTTAGTGTTGCTTAAGTTAGGTTTATACAGCCATATAAACTTTTCAGGGATGCCAGATTCAGAAAAACGGTAAATAGGCAGCTCATTTTCGTGCTCTCGAAGGGTGTTTTAAAATCGACGAAGAGGTGGAATATGCCGATCCTCTTTTCACGGCTTTTTCCAAGATTCAAGGTTTGGCGCATGGTGAATATCTGGTCAATGGTTGACTTACCAGGTCTGAAGCCACACTGATAAGATCCAATCAGTTTGTTGACGGTGGACTTTAGTCTTTGCCACAATATGCTTGATAAAACCTCATATGTGATGTTGGCGCAGACTCTGGGATCGCATTTTTGGAAGATTGGGCAGAACACACTTAGGTTCCAATTGTCTGACATGCTTTCATCCGACCATATTTTGCAAAGAAGCTGATGCATGCACCTGATCAGTTCTTCACCGCTGTATTTAAATAGCTCGACCGATAAGCCATCGATCCTCACCTCTTTGTTATTTTTTAAGCAGACGATTGCTATTTAGACTTCTTCATAGTCGGGTAATGGAACAACTTTTCCATCGCCATCAATTTCACTACCATTCAGCGCGCTGGAGAAGTGTTCCCCCCATAGATTCGGTATACTCTGGGCATTCGTCAGTCGCTCACCCTTATGGGTCCTACGCCGGTCTTGAAACCCTCCGTAAGCCACCGTATCTTTTGGTAGTATTTTCTAGCATTACTCTTGTCAGCCAGCTTCTCAAGTTCTTCGTACTCATGCATTCCGTTCTCTTTCTTTTTTTTTTGTAGGCAGATGCTTCTTGCTTTCCTCTTCAGCTCTCGGTATCTATACCACCCCGCACGTGTAGTGGTCGATCGCAAGGTTGTGAGGTAGGCAGTCAGTTTTCTCTCCACAGTGACACGGCAGTCTTCAAAGTACCAGCTGTTTTTGCGACCTTTCCGAAATCCAATAGTTTCGTTTGCAACTGTACGTAAGGAGTTTGTGGGCCGTCCCACGGTTCCTTTCTGCCGGGTTGCTGATGCAGAAAGCAGGTACGGCAGTCGAGTAGAAAACCGCTCGGCAGTCTGTCGTGATTACAGATTTTCAACGTCGAACCTTCCTTGTGTTTGTTGACGGGCGCTCTTCGATATATAGAGGCGCGTGCGTATCTTCGCTGCGACAAGATAGTGATCCGAGTCGATGTTAGGACCTCGGAACGTACGCACACTGGAGACACGTCTTCCGTCTACCACCACATGACCGATCTGGTTGTGAGTTTTTCGATCTGAAACAGCCAAGTAGCTTGATGTATTTTCCTGTGCTTGTTTCTAATGCTACAGACAACCATATTTCGGGCCCCGGCGAATGCGATCAAGACTTAATTACCTATGCATTATTGGCGATTTCCAAATGCACGCAAACGACAATTTTTCAGTTGCCATACGAATTGTGCTCTACGCTTTTAATACTTCCTTTCTGACTTGAGAAGACATTGTTTTAGTGTCTCTCACGGTGTTATGCTCTCATATTGACCTTACGAGTGCACATATTATTCGTAGATGTTTATATGAGTTAGCAAGTATAAGGTTACTTCAAAGAAAGAAAATGTAAACTTTTTCACCGAAAATAACTTAAATAGACACACAGTCATGAAGCGAAATTCAGTCGAGCGTTGAACAACTCTGCGTTTGCACGTACATATTTATAAAGGCTTTTTTTTAGTGGCGGAACAACACAGTTACGTACATATAAAAGGTGAATTTACAAAACAGGTATGCTCATTGTGAAATAACAATGGCTTACGGTAATAACAACAACAATTGTAATTATAATGATTATAGCAATTAAGTGTAAACAGCTGGCCAACTCATAGTAAACATGCATACCATATTATAATATATATGTCTGTATGTATGTATGTGCATAAAAACACATAAAGCTGTTTGAAATTTGGTCCTAATTTCAACTTCTCTTCATTTCCTCTCCACTCCACTTTAGCATGGATTTCTATTACCTACCTGGTTCTGCGCCTTGTCGTGCCGTTCTTCTGACTGCTCATTGCATTGGCCTTGAATTGAATAAAATAATTGTGGATCTAAGAGCCGGTGAACACTTAAAGCCCGAATACCTGAAGATCAATCCGCAGCACACAATTCCAACACTCGTGGACAATGACCTTACGCTGTGGGAGTCACGCGCGATTATGATCTATTTGGTGGAGCAATACGCCAAAACCGACTCGCTCTACTCCGAATGCCCCGAAACGCGTGCGCTGATCAATCAACGTTTGTACTTTGACTTGAATCTTAATATGATTTTTGGCAAATATTTTTATGTGCCCATCAAGACGAAGACTCCATTCGATCCGGAAGAACTGAAGAATTTGGAGACACAATTGGATCTCTTGAATACTTTATTGGCTGGCAATAATTTTGCTGTTGGCAGCACGCTCACACTGGCCGACCTATCACTTTTGGCTACGATCAGCACTTTGGATATTGCACAATTGGCAAAAGGTGCCAATATCGATTTAAAAAAGTATGCGAATATTAAAAAATGGTACGACAACATGAAAGCAGTTGCGCCGGGCTACAAAGAGAACTATGAAGGTTGTTTGGAGTTTAAAAAATTATTTGATGGTGAATAAATATGGCTTGACATTGCTTTTATTGCATAACTTTTATAAAGTTTCTCAGTATTTCCTAAATAAATATAATAAAATACAAGTGTAAATAAATCATGCGAGTGATTGAAACGATGATTGGCATTTTTCTCTTTTCATTACTCTCATTGATTCGTGTGTGCTCTGAGAGAAATGTTGAAACCAGTTTTGAAAATGTTAAGACAATCAGTTATTGACCTGAAGTATTTGTTATTTCTCTGGTGTGCAGGCAGTGACAAATGCTTTTACACCGTTACTATATATATATATATATATATATGTATAGTAGATGCAGTAGTTTGAACTAATATTTAAATTGAAAGTGAAAGCCAAATTCAAATGGCAATCAAAACAAACGAGGTAATAATGTATCAATGTAGAACTGCACATACATATTTACTTACATATGTATAACCTTTCTCAATGAGAGATATCCGAGGGGATTAACAAAAGTTTGGTAAGTTGACCAAAAAAATTCTTTTCGTATTTATTCGCAATCTTTGTCCATTTTTACCTTCTCTACATAATCGCAAGGGAATTCTATGTATTTCTTAAGCCTATAGATCCACTTCTGGAAACAGTCTTCAAAATCTTGCTTTTTATGCTTAACAAACTCAGCCTTCGGCGTATTAATTATTTCCTCGTTGCTATAAAAAAAATCTCTTCTTTTAAATTTTTTTTTAATTTTTGGAAATAACCAGACATTACAAAATGCTATATCTGGGGAATATGGTGCTGGAAGTTTTTCCTCGATCCCAGAGATCGAATTAACTCTTTACTTCATCAGTGTGGGATGCCATAAAAAGTATGATTTTCATTTAAATTTATAACTCGCCAAGCACTATGTTCGAATAGCATTTACACGCTTGCAGAGCAACAAGTGAGCTTGAGCCGATGGTTAGAAAGCTGAGCCATACAGGTGAAAATCGACCGAGTAGTTCAGTACCAAAGAATATGTCTGACCAGTTGCTTCTCTATCGGAATATTCAATACTAGCTTGACACATGTGTCCCATTAAGTATTTTTATTTAACTAAAACGCTCGAAAGCTCTTTGAAAATATATGCGGCGATTAACCGAACATTTCAAGACGCGCGCATACTCATGTAGAAATCAATGTGAAAATCTGGCGATCAACGTCCAGAGCATACTTGGTGTATACACATGTATTCATATGTACATATATTGGTTACAATAAACATCTTTGGGTAATACCTTAATGCAAAGCTCTAGAAGCTGAGCCGGGTTTCCGTTTCTGTAATTGAAACTGTACATCAACGACTTAGAAAAGCCTTCCGCTGCTACTGAAATCCACCATTTTGATGAGATACGTTCACCGCTTGAATACCCATACCAGAATTGCCGGTCGAAATCTAGTAGAGTGATGAAGCGATCCAAAGTTCAAATACAGAAACAACAGAATGATGAAACCTGCGTATAAAATGTACAAAAGAATTTTTAAGGAGACCCCAAATAACTGTTTAGCTGGGAACTGCAATTTATCAGGTGTTCCATCTTCAGGATTTTTCACTAGAATCCGTGTCGGCCGTGTCTGGCAAACATGTTTCGTATAAAAATGTTACCCGCAGAAGAATTCTTCTACTTAAAAGCACATTCTGAAAGTGCAAGAGAGGACTAATCTTTGTACAAAAAATCCGAGTAAGTCCGATCTTTATGAATCAATATATATATATAAATAAATATATAATTGGCGATTTGTAACCGCTAAAGCAGTTTTTCCGCGGAGCTCCTTCTAAAATTTGTGGTTTTGCGTTTTGATGTTTTTCCATCAAATGGGCGGACCCACAGTTTATACTAAGCCGCCTCCGAATGGCTGATTTTTTTTTATGAGGAGCTTTATTTCATCTAAGAAATACACTCAGAGGAGTTGACATTCCCTGCCGAGGGGCCACCGCATAAAATTAGAATCTTCGTCATATGATGACCATAAGTCCCACCTTGCATATGAAGAACTTTCTATTACTTTGCATAATAAAACCTAATTCGGAGAAAAAAATTAATTGATTAATTGAATCTGCAGGAATCTAACTATAATTTCATAATATGTCTGCAATACAAGTAGACAGGGACGAACGAGTCGCAGATGAAAAAGTTACAGGCTTGCCAGAACACCACTCTCAGGACTGCGACACTTCCTGATGTCTCCGCAGCATAACTTGCACAGTAAAGCATCTTTGCTAAGAGTTAAGGAGCATAATCCTTTGCCGTGCAGATCCTATTGGGATGTTGAATAGATGCTGAACCTCCACCTAGGCACATCAGAAAGAGAGTACTAGACTTAAAAACCACCATCCAGCAACATGTACAACAACCCGCGTACAGACAGCCACTGAACGCCATTCACCAGAAGTCACTCAACACCTTCAAAGACTCCCTTCCTGTGAATAGCGTGCTCGGAGTAAAACCACCACCCATTACAGACAACGAGCTCGAGCTGCCTCGAGAGACCCGCGTGACCTTTGCCCAACTTAGGTATGGATATTGTAGCGACTCCACATAACCCACCTCTCCTTTTGGTCCAATCCCCTCGAAACAGCTCGTTTCCTGGACCTTTGACCAGATGACCACGGCGATTTAGATCGATCAAACCTGTACCTAAGCGGGGTTAGCGAACCGCTACAGCAACAACAAAAACAACACAACATGATCGGTCTGGTTTGGGTTTTTGGATGTGGAGACAAATAAGTACCTTGTTTAATTTTCTTGTGCTGGAATCGAGTGCAGACGGCAACCATATTTTGGGCTCCGGCGAAGTCGATCAGCCTCAACCCCAATTGGGGAAGTTTGCCAAAGTTGTGTCAAAAATATCTTCTTTCTCCTCTTTCTAGTATTTTCCAAAATGCACCGTTTGTAAGGGGGTATCAAAACTCCCCTGTCACTACTTATCCAACCTTTAAGTATTGAATCATGACAGCAGAACAGTTGTAACGAAAATCAGTTGGAGTTAAAAAAATAAATTTTATTGAATAAATTTTTTTTTACCTTGGATGTTTGTTTAGCAGGGTTTGATACAATGATCTTTCTTATGGTAGTATTTACTGTTAACCACTCGACTAATGCGGTCGAAGTGCATAATCTATCGACAATGTTACGCTAAGAGCTCCTTATCTAGGATACTCACCGTTTTATATCAGCAAAATAATGATTTTATCTTTTTCTTAGATTTATAAATATTATTATCTATACTAGGGTGGTTCACTCAGTGCCCACCTCACGGTGCCAATATAAGTTTACTGAATTAATCCATTATTTTTGCAATAAACGTCCTTAGTTATCAGTAACTCGCGTTCTATAAGTGCCATTGTATTAAGTTAGATGGCGTTAGGAAGATGATATTTTGTACTAAAAAAGAGAGAAGTGTTGATCATTTTACTAAGAAGTTTTTAAGTACATGTTAAAGATGGACACCAGCAAAAAGGCAGAACGCTGCATTCTACAATTTTTCTTCGATGAAGGCAAAAACGAGACCCGTTCTGAAGCGAATGGTGACAGATGATGAAAAGTGGATCAGTCACAGCAACTTCAAGCGAAAACGGTGTTAGTCGAAGGACACAAAGATTCGCCAGGATTAACGGCCGGGAAAGTTTTGTTGTGTATTTGATTAGATTGACAAGGAATCATCTAATATGAGTTGTTCCCTTTCGGCCAAACTCATAAGTCGGCAAATTCTTCGACTGAAGAAAGCAATCGCCAAGAAGCGCCCAACTTTGGCAAACAGGAGGGGAATCGTGCTTCCGTCAGACTTCCATATCGCCTCGCCAGTTAAGTGTCAGAAGCTGGAAGAGCAAAAATATTATTGCACTTTTACTAAACCTAATATTTCAATATTTTTTTTAATTTTGAAATTGATTGTTCATGCTCGTCAATATAGGCATGGTGAACTGGTGGACTATTGACAACAGATAGCCAGAATTAAGCACTAGAACTTTCGTATAATTGTTTGGCTTTTAATTTTTTTTTGCAAATTTGCAGCAAAATGTTTCATAGATATACATACATATAAATACAAATGAAAACACATCTCTTAACTACATACTTAATCACTTAAGTACTTTCATGCTCGAATTTCCTCTCAGTAACTTGTCGCCATCATAAAACTATATTGGCTATACGTATATACGAGTACATATAATATAATATATCATATATCTATGTGCATTTGTATTGCATAGAAACAGATGTGCCTTCTATGCACAATAACGTTTTCAATTTACTATTATAATTTGTTTATTTGGAGAGTATAACATTTATTTGCACACTTATGCACACAAATAGAGCTAGTTAACAGTTTAGGCTTTCCTTTGGCCGAGTTTCTTCTCCGGCTTTTGGCAAATGTATTAATTTTTCCTTACAAGTGTACGTTTCAGGACATCTCTTCAGGGTTAATGGATTTTTGTGAGACATCTTTTAAGTAAATTCTATAATTTTTGTAATAAAATTAAAATTTTTCTGCATTTTGCTTTGATCAGGCCTGTAACTAATGAAACACTCACTGAAGCTGAACACTTATTTAACTTCAAGTGATAAGGTATGCGTGTATATATAGTACACGCCCCTATATACATATGTATATTTATTTATACACATTTTAGTAAAAAATTATGACATATGTATGTGTGTGGATAACTCAACGAACCAATATAATCGAAATTGTCTCAAAATATTCAAAGAAAATTATTTATTATTATTAATATTATGCCATTTGTTTGATTTTTGTTACAGACATATGTACAATTATTATTTTCTAAGCGGTTTCTAAATATTGAGGTGAGTGATGAGTTACCCAATAACACATATGTATGTATGTATAATGCTAGCTTTCGAGATTACAATTCAAAAATGTCATTAGGAAGAGAAGAATTTTTTATTTTTAATATTATTTCCTAAAACAATTTACCTGTTCTTCAATCATTTAGTGTTGTAAAAATATATATATGAAGATGTTCCATAAATAAAAACATACACAAATATACAAAATACAAAAATGTCATCGAATAAATTTTCCTTCGACACATTTTCGGTCGAATATCATAAAATTTAATTTTTATATGATATTTTTGCCAAAATGCTTTTGCTCAAAGAATGAACTTAAATTGGAAACTATAAAAATTAAATGATTGCCTCGGGAGGGGAAAATACGCATAAATATTTACCAAAGATGGCAAATTTACTGAGGCAGTGCTCCTTGCTTTCTATTGGTTTAAATACATATCTAGATTGTATTAACAACTCCAGTTTAGTTTCTGGTAAAAATTTAAAAATAAAATTTCAACCTTCGTTGAAAATATTAACTTTTAGTTCTGACCGAAAAAATCTTCACTGACAACACCCAAAATGCCTTTCTAATAGATATCTGCAAGCCAGACGACAATTTATGTATTCTCAATAATTTGCGAATTTTTCGTTTGTTGGGTAATGTGATTTGCGGTAGGCACAAGTGTGCGCTACAGGCTTACAACTACATACGAATATATTCTCTCTTTATCATTTGACAAATTTGCGCTTTAAATAGACAACAGTTTCGCAAGGCATATTCAGTTCTTTAGCCTTTGGCAGAGTGTAAAGAATTAGCTTGACAGATATTTGTTCTATTGAATTAATTGGTGAGTGAAAGCGAATTTGCATACAGAAAGCATACCAGTGATGGGCTCTAGTGCTCCGGAACAGGCCCGTTGCCTATATCTGTTTTAAAAAAGTTGTTTCTTCACTTAATTAAATCGTTATTTTTCACAATTCCAGGTGCAATGGATTTTTATTTTCATATTGTATCAGCGCCCTGCCGTTCCATTTTAATGCTTGCCAAAGCATTGGGAATTGAACTCAACCGCAAAACGTTGAACTTGGAGGTGGGCGAACACCTGACGCCGCAATTTTTAAAATTAAATCCACAACACACCATACCCACTTTGGTCGACAACGGTTTCTCGGTATGGGAATCGCGTGCTATACTCATTTACTTGGCCGAGAAGTACGGCAAAGATGATTCGCTATACCCAAAGTGCCCACAGAAGAGAGCTCTTATCAATCAGCGTATGTTCTTCGATTTAAACTTATATTCTTCCTTTGCTGAGTACTACTATCCCATCGCTAGAGATAAGCAGCCACCTGTGCCAGAGAATTTGACCAAACTCGAGGGACAACTAGAATTTTTGAATACTTTCTTGGAGGGACAAACTTATGTGGCGAATGATAGTTTGTCTCTCGCTGATTTCACATTGCTCGCCTCTGTCTCTTCCTTTGCGGCATGTGACATTGATGTAGGCAAATTCCCAAATATTGTCAGATGGCTCGAGCACTGCAACAAAACAATACCCGGTGCAGATGAAAACAAAGAGGGTTGTGAGTTGTTCAAGAAATACTGGTAAATATTGTAAATGGAATGTTTTAATTTCATAAAATTATCAATTATGTATATGAAGAAACACATATAATATATATAATAAATTTTATAAATAAATCTCACTATATTGAAAAAATAGCAGTGTATTTCACCACTTGTATAGTTGTTTTTGCTCACGGGTACTAGGACACGGAAGTATGTATGTAATATTTATGGAAATGTGTCTGGGATGAATCCCAAAAGATTGTGCGATTAATGTGATTTGGGCTTCCGTTTCTTTTTGTTCGATAATGTGAAGCGAGAGACTTCTTTTTTTAATGAATTGGAAACGTTTATTTTCCTATAGCTCCTACATCGGGAGTAGATCTCCGCTCCATATAAATAGGAATATTTCCCTAAAGTCAGAAAATAGTACCTCACAACAACGCTCCAGAAGGAGCTAACTGCCTGATCAAATATACAATAAGAGTGGGAGAAGGTCCTCGCCTTATGCTGATACCTAAAATAGGGAGTAGTACCACAGATTTACAATCAATCTTTCGTTGGTAGTATTTTCAAGATAAAATTCATAAAAATGTTTGAGAATCCACTCTGCAAGTAAACTCTGGAATATTTCATTTACTGCATTCAATTCATTTGAAATTCTTTTTACCCTTCATATTTATTATTTATTAAAAAAATAATAATAAATTAATTATTGGGATAACCATCGGCTGGTGCTGTGAGCATCCCAAGTTCGAATTCAATACGAACAAAGGTGTCTGAGAAGAGGAGCCTGTTGAGGAAACGTGGTGGTTTCCGAAATAACAACTATAACTACTACCGTTCAAAACTGTTGTTGTAATCTTTTCACAATTTCCAAAAAATTTAGATAGTCTAAGACAGTTCCACAATACCTAAGAATCAAAAACAAATCAACAAAATAATGATCTGAAAAAGCATTTAAAAAAATTTATTTGAATACAACGTAAGGAATATTGAAGAAAACCGGACAACCCGAAAACTTTATTTCATATTTATTGAAAAAAAATCGATTTTTTTTAACAAAGTATGAATTTCAAATATATTATATATTAATTATAAATGTAAGAACAAGAAAAAATGGTATATTCAATAGTATGTTAATTTCCCCTTACTGCAGATTATAATCTACAAACAGAGTAGAGTCAAACATAACTGATTTCCAATGGCGACTACTTGCGCCTAATTCATGCTCATTTGTACTCTTTTAAGACCAGTTCAAGATCGCTCATTTTAAAATTTCTACACTTCGTAAGTGGTTTGTGTATATATGTCTGCGATAGCAACTGTGTTTTTAGATGTTAAACAATCATTTGAAAATTAAATTTCAACTATTTCTCATTGACTTTTCTTTGGATCTTTTAGCTTCACAGTTTTCATCTGTTGGTCGTTGTCGAAGAGGGCTCAGCAGAAAATCGTTTCACCGGTTTCAGTTCTTCTAATATAAAGCCCGATTCTAAATATTCACGGGGAATCGGCATTATTAATTCCGTGTGAGAACAAAAATAAGGGAAAGAAGAGGAAGCTTATTTCCGAATTTCAACAATCAGCTGTTTGACGGTTCTTGACATTTCAATATCCGTTGCGAATAAGAAAAAAATAAAAATTTAAATGAAATTATTATAAAGTGTAAAAATTTAATGTTAAAATTAACAGTACTGCATTAAAATTAGTGACAAGCGAAGAGCGACGGAGCAATACTCTAGGAACTTCCCCCTCAAACAAACGGCGAATTGATACAATTTACTTTTTAGGCACCGCAAAGAAACAATTTGCTATTTCTACGTTGGAGAAGTTGAGTGCTTTTTTCAATTATTTATTATTGAAGCCGCCTACCAAATGTTGGACAAAGTACTTTCTGAAGTGCTGGAAGCATTTGAAAAACATATGTGCCCGAAGTGCATAAAAGTTGCTGGGCCAGAAGACGAAAAGCGTATAAGCGTACCTCAGCACCGATGCAATTCAATGAAGTTCATACCCAATGCCGCAATGTGATGGGACGTACAAAGGGAGTCCTGAAAAATTGGTGTAAATGCTTGTTAAAAGTAAGGAGCAGTGCACTATTCAGTGGGGCAGAAGCTGCAAAAATCGTTAAGGTTTGTTGCGCTCTGCACAGTCTTTGCATTGGTTTCAAACTTGGCTTTAACTCTAGTGAACTCGCCTCTATACCGCAAGAATTCATTGAAACTTGTGGTTTTAAAGCCACCTTCGGCAGCACGAAAAGGAGCTGCCTCTACGCAGCTGGTATCCCCGCAAAACTTGTTGGGCTGTGTAAACTGACCTTAAGCGGCACTAAAAGCTCCGTCAGAATCGTGAAGCACCTCGCCCAGCCGCTCGATATCAAACGAAGTTTCAAACAATATAACTTTTTATCATGTGAAGATGAGCTGAATAGAGAAAGTACAATCTTCTACAAGATTATTGACCTCAACAACCGCACCGTGCGTTCTCCTTCCAGACTTACTAAACAAACAAACAGCCAAACAGCCATGGCTCAGCTCTGGCGCAACTGGCGCTAGCCACCGAAAAGAATGGGTCATTCCTCTCTTCTAATAATATATTAATTCAGCTTTAATCACGTTAGCGGTGTAAGCGCCCATAAAGAAGAAGAAGATCATCATGAACTTAAATACAGTTCATAGAAATAGAAATAATATTGGAAATAATCTGTAAAACGTACTTTAATATTAATAATAAAAAAAACAAAAACTTACATTATCCTTTCTACTCTCTTAACAAACAGTTGCGGAATAAATCTCGAGACAAGTCGCCTTAGTGATGCCTACTTTTTCCGTACAAAAAAAAGAACACTCTTTTCGAAATTAATTGAGAATAGGAGGAACGGAAAAAATCTATCGGAAAGAGGGTATTGAGAATATGAGAGAAGGTTTAGGAGAAGTAATTATCTCGGAAATTCTAAGATGTCAAATAAAAGGCTAAGAGCAGGCATGGACGAGCTAGAGTAGAGCTAGACTAGAAAAAAGAGACGAGTCAAGAACCATCTAGAAATGTCGAATAAGCAAATATTAGCGTGTTAGTAAATTTATAAAAGATATATATATATATATATTATTACTTATATTGCTGAGTTTGTTGAATGTTTTCTATCAGCCTCAGATAAGATTGTCTTGAGTTTACAGAGATGCCTCATACAATGAAAAAACTATTAGTTTTATATACATCTGGCCACTGCTATAAGTTGTGTGTGTAAATATCATTTTATAGCAATAAAAAATCCATCTGCTTTTAGTTTACGGTATTGTTATCGTTATCAGCGTGCAAATAGCTCGATTAAGAGTAAATTGTGATCGGAGTAAAAAAAGTGGTTTCAGATTGCTTATTATACTTATGAAGATGCCTGATATTCAATAATAACAATCATTGCAAAATAGTATTATAAAGAAGCAAAGAATCCGTACGTCCCCGTCCCCGTCTCCGTCTCCACCTCTTACCTATCAATGATTTCTGCATTTCTATGTACTTGGGTTATGTACTTGTACGTACTTGTACGTGCATATTTTTTAAGTTTTTAAAAAGAATAAAATAAAATCAGTGGAAATAAATATTACTTAGATAACTCCACTAACAGTGATTGTAAAATTATTGTTATGAAATAATTTGATGCTATATAATTATGAAATTCTCGTATTTGTAACCAAACTCCTTCGAAACAGGCTTAACGAAGTTAAGTTGCGTATGGATTACATATCCCGTAGGTCTCAAACCGTGAAATGGACATCGTCGAAAAAATTTGAATTTATCATTGTTTTTGTAGCGGCAAGTCAAATCCTACTTAGAGGAGCAGACGAGATCAGTCTAAGTCATCGAGGTCATCTAATGTGAGGTTCAGAAAACGAGCAGGTTCGACGGGTTCGGGGCAGAGCAAAAAGGGGATTTTGGCTTTAAGAGGCATGCAAAGAGGTGGTTAGTGTCTTCCGGGGATCATTGCAAGCAGGACATTAGCTAGGTATGACGGAGTCAAGTCTGTATAGGTCGGAGTTTTTTTCTTCGTCTGCAATAGGTGTAGTTAGTGTGAGTCTGTGTACGTCATTCACTGAAGGAAAGAGTTAAACAAGGCAGTCGGTGAATTACGTTAAAAGTTTGTCGATAAGTCTTGTCCAGCGGTTCTTTTATGTGGCGCTGAATGTAGTCCCTATAATCGTGTAGTCCCTTATTGATGTGCCGAGCTAGTCGTACGGCTTCTAGGAAGTATTAATTACTCTACTATACAGCTGAAGGTTAAATTTTCCAGTTAGCATTGGCTTTTCAGTAAGAAATCTGGTCTTTCTTTCTATAATGCGACTAAAAAGCCGATATCTGCACAGTTATAAAACAAAGATTCCAGTAGAAAACACTGTGGATAATAACAGGCTCACCATGCTATATGCGTATATATATGTATGTATAAATATAAATATATATATATTATATATTTGGCGCTTTGTAGCCGTTTAGGCGATTTTCGGTCGAGCTCCTAAACCGATTTGTGGTTTTGGGTCTTAATTTTTTTCCAACCTATGGAGGGACATAACGTCTGATGGTTTTTTTAATGTCAGAAATACACTCGGAGGGGTTGACAATACCTGCCGAGGGGCGACCGCAATTAGAAAATTTGACTTAATTTTTTTATTTAAATTTATTTTCTATAACTGCATAGAAACAGATGCGCCTTCCATACATAATAACGGTTTCAATTAACTATTATAATTTGTTTATTTGGAGAGTATAACATTTATTTGCACACATATGCACACAAATAGAGCTATTTAACAGTTTAGGCTTTCCTTTGGCCGAGCTTTTTCTCCGGCTTTTGGTTAATATATTAATTTTTCCTTACAAGTGTACGTTTCAGGACACCTCTGCAGCATTAATGGATTTTTATGAGACATCTTTAATATAAATTCTAAAAAGTAGTAGTAAATTTAGAATTTTTCTGCATTTTACTTTGATCAGGCCTTAAACTAATGAAATACTCACTCTAAAAATGGCAGTGCTAAGCGTACTCAGTTTGAAATATGATAGCTTCCTATTGAACTGATACGCTTTGCAGTGGAGAACATTAATTTAATTTCAAGTGATAAGGAATGCCTCTATGTACATATACTTATATGTACACATTTTAGTAAATATGTATACTAAAGGTACAAATAGTAAATAAATCAACTGAAAAAAGCGTGTCATATGTGTGTGTGGACAACTCTACGAACCCAAATATGGTTATTCCAAATATATCAAAAATGCCTCAGAAAATTTATACAAAATTATTTGTTATACCGAATGCAATGTTCCTTGTTTGACTTTTTTACGACCATAATTACCTTATTTTTTAAAGCGTTTTATAAATTTTAATACATGTAATTCTAGTTTTCGCGATTGCAATTATAAAATGATTTTACAAAGGAAGGAATTTTTTATTTTATTATTTTCTAAAATATTTTAGTTCTTCACTTTTAAATTATGCACATAAAAATATTTAAAAGTTTGATAAAAAAAAAATGCAGAAATATACAAAACACTAATACGACATCAAATAAATTTTCTTCGGCAAATGTTGTAAGATTTCTATTTAAAATTTTGCCAAACTGTCCAAATTTTATTTTTATTCTCTCTTTGAAAGGAGCTGTCAGATACTTTTGCTCAAAGAATGAACTTAAATTGGAAACTATAAAAATTAAATGATTGCCTGGGGAGGGGAAAATACGCATAAATATTTCTATCGGTTTAAATACATACATATGTATGTAGATTGTATTACCAACTTCAATTTAGTTTCTGGTAAAAATTTAAAAATAAAATTTTAAGTTTCATTGAAAATGTTAACTTTAAGTTCTGACCGAAAAAATCCTTACTGACAAGACTCAAATGCCTTTCTAATAGATATCTGCAAGCCAGACGAAAATTTATATATACTCAATAATTTGCGAATTTTTTGTTTGTTGGGTAAGGTGATTTGAGCTTATAAATATATTCCTGTTAATCGTTTGGCAAGTTTATGTGGTACATGAATGACAGTTTCAGAAGTCATATTGAGTTCTGTAGCTTTCGGACGAGTAGAAGGCAACAGCTAAATAGGAAGATTTACTTCTATAGAATTATCAAGTGAGTGAAAGCTAAAATTGTTTTGTATATACATTCATACATATATAAATATTGAGAGGTGTTCATCTAACTAGGTGGTTACTTTTCCTTACTCCAGGACTAAGAGATTTTTATTTTCTATTTTCCGTTCCACATTAGTACTTGCCAAAACATTGGGAATTGAACTCAACCGCAAAACGTTGAACTTGGAGGTGGGCGAACACCTGACGCCGCAATTTTTAAAATTTAATCCACAACACACCATACCCACTTTGGTCGACAACGGTTTCTCGGTATAGGAATCGCGTGCTATACTCATTTACTTGGCCGAGAAGTACGGCAAAGATGATTCGCTATACCCAAAGTGCCCACAGAAGAGAGCTCTTGTCAATCAGCGTATGTTCTTCGATTTAAACTTATATTCGTCCTTTGCTGAGTACTACTATCCCATCGCTAGAGATAAGCAGCCACCGGTGCGAGAGAATTTGACCAAACTCGAGGGACAACTGGCTAGAGCACTGCATGAAAACCTTGACCGGAGTAGATGAAAACAAAGAGGGTTGAAAGCTGTTTTTGTAATATTTTTGATTATTGAATTGGATATGGCAGTTTTTAAGTATATACAAGGGAGAAAGTACCCTGCCAATATAACTCGACTGTTGTAAAATGTGTCTGGGATGAGTCGCAAAGAAGCAAAACGATTGGCATTCCTTTTTGATTTATTGGAAGGGTTTATATTCGTACGGATAATAATGGTCCTATATTTCTAGCCGGAGGAGTAGATCCTCGCCATTTCTAAGTGACCGATCAAATATACAATTCGAGAGGGAGAAGCTTCTAACCCTATGATGATTCATACTTGTGGACAATCTACTTACAACTGATAGTATTTTTATGAAAATATTAATATCACTATAATGTAAGGGATTCTGTAAACATTACCACATAGAATTCTCTCTATTGGAAACTTTCTTTTTTCTCTATTAGAAACTTTCTTTTTCCACCAGCTTATTTATTATTTATTTTAATGAAAATTGAAATGAAATAAAACGTATAGAATGATGAAAGAAAGGATAGTCCAAAAGAAATTTTTTCCCATACAAAAACAAACTCTGCAATTCCTTTTCATTCGTACTATACAGTGCCGAAGCGTGGACGCTTTCGATATGCGATGAGTTGGCAATGGGAAGGATGACGTGGAGAGCGACCTGGTTTCACTTGGTGTTTCCAACTGCCGCTAAACAGGAAAGTAAAGAACGGAATGACACGCTATAGTTGAATAGACTAAAGTGTAGAAGATTCCTTTAAGAATATTGGGCTTTTGGGTTTGTAACCATTTTGCTAGTGATTCGAAGATTCTCGCTAAGAATTTCCTCCGCTTAATGAACATTTTCAATGGTTATAGATACCAGTTGCCAGATCTATTGAGGAAAGCTTTCACTTTTCAAACAATTAATAGCTAACAGGTCTATTCTGTGCACTTGATAAATTCACCATCTTGCTTATTTATCAAGATTGACAATTTATCAACATGATTCTATTCTATGTCAAAAATAAAAAGCTCTTTTCCTGGTAAATTGTCAATATGTCAAATGCTCTTGACAAGGTTTTTTTTTTACAAATAAAACTTCTTTTTACTGTTTGTGCATATTTGTGAATAATAAATTGTAAGAAAGGAAGGTACATATTTTTCATATTTATATAGTTAAGAGACAACATTTTCGCAAATTTTCGTTTGACTTGCGATATTTGCCGTCATCTCTTAGATGAACCTTTAATCATAAGAGTGCTGGTGGCTTCAAACTTCTCTGAGTTTGGCTCATATCAAAAATGTGTAGGCAAACACTTTGAATTGCCCACGAGTTAGTCACTTCTTTCCAGAAGTTTACTTATTGTACAGATGGAGGGAGTAGAAATAAAATCACCCAGTTCGGCGGAGGAAGAAACTAATGTAAAAACAGGGTACGTTAATATAAATAAAAAACCTAAATCCTCCTAAGAGCTAAAGTACAACAAAATAAATGGCTCCGCCGGTATACAGTACATACGTGAAGGTGAAAAACCCAACTCCAATATATATGTACTACGATTATGTAATACAACTACACTTATTTGTTTATTTACTTTTCCTTAGTTCTAAAATAATTTAAGTTAGCAAAACCAGCCGATTTTTGTTCACAATTCATTGTTTACCACACGTGTGGGGAAAAGCACACCAAACTGAAGCTTTATGTTTCATCAAGATTGACAGAGAATACCAAATAAATTTTTGCTTGATAAAAATCTTGATAAAAAATTAATTTTCTGTCAAGTGCACAGTATAGGGCTGATAGTGCCTTTAGATTATTTGTATGTACACTTGCCAGAAAAACTATGCGTACACACTCAATGCATAACTTTGATGGCAAAAAAAGTGTAGTTGTATTAAAGATATCGACTTGGTTTATTTTTATACAAAAGACTCATTTATTACTAATAGTATTCATAAGTTTTCTTAGTCTTAAATATATAACTTATACTAATAAAAATAAAAAAGTAAAAATTCATTTGACTTAGCACAAGAAAAAGTATACACACAAACTAAAAACTTGAAGTGCAGAGTCCTGTTATGTAGCTTTTCGTACCGTTAGATCAGAATTAACGGTAATAAAAGCACTAGAAATTTTTCGATGTTCGTTGTCTTAGTAAATTTCATCATTCTATAAAAAAGATCGCAATGGACGGAAAGAAAAAAGAAATTGACCCCGATTTGAGGAAAAACATTATAAAACTTCGTAATGAAGTGAAATCGTTACAGAAAATTGGGAATATTGTATGTAGTACCCACTCCTCCGTGCAAAGAGTGAAAATTTGAATTCAACTGGCTCCGTTGAGTCAAAACTACGCTCTGGAAGGCCGCCGAAATTGACCGATCATGAAAAGTGGGAAGGTTTTGAAGACGATGAGGCTAAAAACCCTGGATTAACAGCTGCGCAAATTGGACAGGATATTAAGCAGACGTTTAAGAAAGAGCTACATGATCATCATATGAATTTTTTGTTTTCATTGGTTTAAGTTATATATTAAAGGCTAAAAAAACGTATGAATATTAATAGCAGCAAATAGGTTTAAAACATATAAATAAATTAAGTCGATATCTTTAATACAACTACACTTTTTTTTGCCATCAAAGTTATGCATTGAGTGTGTACGCATAGTTTTTCTGGCAAGTGTATGTAGTTATAACAGTAAGTATAACAGAATACTCAACGAGCTTTGAATTACCAGCGCTTTACGAATATGTGCAGTTATCATATTACGCAGTTTAAAATTATTTTTCTCAACACTGTACTTTGGTTTTAACGTATGTATGAATGTTGGTACAAAACCTACAAAGAACGTTCAAAAGCGTGAAACGACTTATTCTTTCTGTTTTGGGATTAAATAAAAACCGAAAAAATATCAAAACCGTTTATAAATCGAAAGAAAAAACCAGTTTTCATACATACGTATTAGGATGTGTATACATGCGTATACATATGTGTGCTACAGCCCAATATGAATATATGTATGAACATGTATATTTCACCGGCACCGGAGGTTTTTTATTTTTAACGATCTAAACAATAGGTGTGTGCTGTGTGCTGAGAGAGATAGAGAGAGAGAGAGAGTCTTTGCTTAACATTTGCTAAAATTAATGTGCGATTGCTTGACGTATTAATAGGGAAATATACATAAATACGAGTGTTCTCTGAATCATCTCACTGAATGACAATGCAAAGGGTTTCGGAATTCCCAAGAGCGATTGCCTATTTGGAGCAATAAACCAAATTACTCTTTATTATTGGTGAGTAACATGAAAATTTTAGCGAAATAAGGAACATTCGAGGGCCAACATTACCAAGCATAATTTGATTTACATACATATTTATATTATATGATTGCAAAAAAAGTTATTGAGTTGTAACATAAATACATAAATTTATAAGAAAAATTCATCGCGTTGAAAGTGATTTCTAATAGGAAGTACCTACATACCTATTGGGTTCCCCCCAGAGCAACCGGCAATTTAAAAAAAAAGTAAATACATACATACATATATGTTTTTTTTTGTTGGATGACCATTAGCCCTCTTTCCAGTAACAGCATTATTTGACGCTCATAGAACTTCTGGCCTTTATCTGAACTAATTGCGATTTTGTAGCCTCGTCATTTTTGAAAGTTTTACAATTTAATGAGTTCCCTGCAATGTTAGCCTAACGGTGCCCGGTCAGGGCTATATAGAGGATGCAGCAACAGTGCCCAGCCAAGCTCTCTGTTTTAGGCGAGTAACCAAAAATGTGTCCTGTTGGAATATAACACCTTTACGTGCGACTAATTCTGGTCGCTGCTCGTTAATGGTCGTCTTCAATTTGTTCAGTTGTTCAGAACAGACATCCGTATTATTCGTTGGGTTCCTTGGAAGCAGCTCAAAATATACCACACCCTTCCAATCCCATCAAACTGGCAGCATAATCTTCTTTTAGTGAATATCAGCCTTTGAAGTGGTTTGTGGTGCATAATCATGCTTGGACCATGATCGTTTTCATGCTTGGACCATGACGTTTTCGATTGACGTTTGCTTAAAAAACGGATCATATCCATTGCGTTTAAGATGCATATCACAAGCGTTGAAGCGGTTTCTTAAATGAATTTCTTTCAATTCATTTGGTACCCGAATAACAAGTTTTTTCACCAGTCCAAGAAGTCGTGTATGATTATGAGCGGTTGATTTTGACATAACTTCTCTCCAATCTTAATCTCAGTTAAACGCCGTCCGATTCGATTGAAACTTTGATATCGTCATCATCAACTTCACTTGGCCGAACTGAATAACGTAATATAACATTAACGACTGTTGTACGTTTCAAGTAAAAACAAAAACAATTAGGAAAATAAACATATTTCGATAACTGTTTGAAAACGTTAATATAATAATACCAGATGTTTCAACCAAAACGATAGATTTTTCGATTAAAATGAAATTTATCGTTAATCTGCAGCCCTGGTATAATGTGCAAAAGACGCAGAAAACCTCAAAAATAGACGCTCCATTACCCCGCTATGATGAGATTCCTATAGCCGGTACCCACTTGGAGAACAATAGAAAGCGGATGGAGTCAATAGCTTACCGCTACCGGCTGAGGTATTTAAACATGCCGGTGAGGTGAAGCTGACAAGCAGCATCTTTGATAAATATGGCCGGATGAAAGCATGACAAGTGGCGATTAAAATCAGAAAAAGGCTAAAAAGCGCATTGAAACAAGTAGAAAACCTTAATGTCCCATCCTATATATTGGGTGTATGCATTAATTCGTGCGGCTTTTTTTTTGAAAGTTAAGCCTTTATTGTGAAAAAATGATTTTAATCGTCTGGAAACGGTTGCCTCATCAACTCCTAATATTTTTGCAAGTTCTTCTAGCGGCTGGCATGCATCTGCGTCGAGCAAGGTCTCCAATTCTTCGTCTTGAAATTAATTTGGCTGTCCGGGTTGTTCTCCGTCGTCTAAGCTGGAATTGCCACTTTTAAACCGTGCAAACCACTTTTGGTACGTTCGTTCGGCTAAAGGATAGACACCATAAACGTCCAGTAAAATGCGATGGCTTTGGGTAGCACCTTCTTCATGTTAATGTAATGAAGAAGAACTCCCCGCAAAAACACTTTATCTCGTACAAATTTCGACATTTTCAAATGAATGAATAAAATTGTTGTTCGTGCTAAAACAAATGACATCTACTGAAAATGACGCGAAATGACGGTACCTTTGAAATGAATACAGTCTAACAGGCGGGTTAAACGTGAAACAATCGGAATTTATCACTGAGTAGTATCGATTCAAAGCTGGTGTTCCTCAAGTTAGCATTCTTGGCGTTTTATTATGCGTTATATAAACCGTACACCGTGATCGCAATAGCCGACCAGGTTCCATCAACATCTAATATTAAACGAAATTAATTTCTATAATTGTGGTCGCACCTCGGCAGGAAATTTCAACCCCTCCGAGTGTATTTCTGACGTGAAATAAAATGCTCAAGACGCCTACCCCAAATTGGAGAAGAAGCTACCAATCATCCACTTTTATAGATGGCAAGCCATATTGCGGCGTGATAAATTTCACAGAAAACCATCGAAAACGTTTGGAGACCATGTACTTCTCGTGGAAGATGTAACATATTTCCGATTTCATTTACATAGAAGGATCACTAAAATATACTAATATATATATGCCAAAATATTATGTATGAAATTATAATTTTGCTAGCTTAGATTGGCTGTGCAACTATTATTGGGAAAATACAGAGGTTCCTGTCCAAATTATAAAGGTAATAACGGCAGCACCGAAGTACGTTCGTAACGTAAACATACATAAGGACCATGGAATCCTACTACCTTACGAAGCTGAGAAATAATCATAACCCATTAGCAAACGATTTTCGCGCCATTGTTTTAAACGGGCTTTGAGCTTACTCGAGCATTAAGAAAAACTTGTCAGAAATACACATTGAGGAATTGAACTCTACTCCTGCTACCTTTAGAGTTTGGCCTTGAGCTTTGTTTATGGTTACTGCGAAGCGTACTCTGAAGGAAAACTGCGCTCTCTTTTACTTGGCGCGGTAATTTGAGGTTATCTGACTGATGCTGACTTATGGTGAACATTATTTATGCTTGGATGAACAATTGCTGCTGCTGCTGCTGTAAGAACAATTCTATTGTTATTCAGCTCCGGTAAATCACAATTTCCTTTTTTAGCACAGTTTGAAAGCTGACCGGTAGTAACATTTCCTCTTAAATGGTCTCGCATATTTCTTGCGAGTCTAAATCCTTTCACTGAAGAGCACAATTGAGATTGCTTCATGTATGCGTTAACTTGGTTCGCTCGCGTTACCCTGTGCACTACTTGTGAAGTCTTCCAGAAATCGCTTGCTAAAACAATAGGTAACTCCTCTAACAGAGGAGCAGAAATTCCGGACGATACCACAGTTAAGGCATTATCACCGTTAAGGCTTCTCACTTTGGCCAACAATGAATTCAACAGAGTAATCTTGCCTGTTTCGATACTTGAAACTGTTCTCTGTCTAATTTTAGGCAAAGAGGTACCTGTGCTCTGAATTTCATATCGATCAAACCATGTCCATTGACAAATTGAATTCAATGCATTTATTAAGCCTGTGGATCCACTTCTGAAAACAGTCTTAAAAATCTTTTAGCTAATCAAGTATAGCATTAACCGCATTAAGTATCTCCTCGTTGCTATTAAAGAAATAACCAAAAATCACAAGGCGCCATATCCGGGGTACATAGTGCCGAACGTATTTCCTCGATTCCAGAGATCGCAATTATATTACTCGTTACTTCAGCAGTGTGGGATGCCACGCAGCCATCATATAAAAAGTAGCGCCGCTAATCCACTTTCTTCCAGTTTACCAACAAATTTTTGAAAAATTTTGGTAAACATTCTTCGGTGTACCATTTTGCATTTACCGTCTGATCCTTGTCCAGTGGAATAGCAGCTACGATTTTAGTTTTGGGTTGAAGTACTTTAGCTGCTGATATTTGTTGCTTAGGTTTTACGGGTGGGTTTGCTTCTGTTGAGCTCCATAGCACCGACTGCTGTTGGGTTTCTGGATCTTACTTAAATAACCAATATTCGACTGTAGTAACGACTTTACTAAAATTGCTCGACTCACCATTTTCGAATTTATTTAGGCAAAATTGAGCAAAATGCACTCGAGCGTGTTTATGGGCCTCGTTTAAAATTTGTGGTACCCATCGAACAGATTTTTACCTTTTCCTAGATGATTACTTAATATTCGCGATGCAACCCAATTCATTAGCAATTACTTCAATTGTCTCAATCGTGGGTCTTCGTCAGTTTAGGACTTCTCCAGAGATACAGTGACGCCATCAGTGGAAGATTTTTGTCGACCTTCTCGGGCCTCATCCTCTACGGAAAAATATGCGGTTTGGAATTTTCGGAACCACTTAGAAATAGTCTTTAAAAATGGTGCAATTGTTCCATACGAAATGTGGCATTTACTGAATATTTGCATTGGCCGTAGATTACGTCTAAAAGCCGAAGATAATCACATGACGAATTTCCGTCTGCTTTGGTGGTGGAAATTCGTCTGACCTATCCTCAGCTATCATGCGTTTTCTCATCTGCATTTTAGCCGATCGTTCTAAAATGTGAAAGGAAGACAAATAAAGTAATTGCAAAGGATTGGGAATTTTGAGATTTAACAAAAACAAATTGAAAGTCACCAATAGACCGAACTTTTGTAATCCCCTCGTGTATATATATATAGATAAGGCATAACCTTTTTGAGATATATTTACATATATCCAGTCATTATTTGACGCCTGGAACACCCTCCCGTGTTCCTTGCAATTGAAAATTCATTTTTTTTAATTATTAACGTTTCATTATTTTTGATCAGTTATCTGCTGACAACTCACAACTTTAATGTAAAAAAAAAATTTCGTATAATATTTTTTTTTTCATTTTCTGAAAATAGCATTTTCATGCACACTCGAATATATTATGTATATAAATATGTAAGTTAGTACATATATGTTTTTAAAAATTATTTACACATAAGTGTATGTAATTAAATATTTACGCTAAGAGCACGGTTGTAAAGAGAAAAGTCGCTTTCAACTCGCTCTCATGACTCAAATAAACACCCAAAGCTGTGCTCAATCAGCAGCACGCCTATGACTCACGCTGTTGGCGTAGACCGGCAGTCGCTTGTAGGATAAGGTCAGACTGGAAATTTGCTATAAAAAGCCAACACCACGCAGCTTTGGCATCAGTTCTTAATACACCGTTGAAGTTATAACATTAAGGTAAGTTTGAAGTCGGAATACAGAAATTGGTTTTTTAAAGTGTTAAATATGTGAATTAGTGTAAAAGTGTAAACAGTTATTTCATATATAGTACATAAGCTGTTTTTGGGCTTATAATTGATTGCTGTGCAGTATTTTTTTTTTAAATCCGTACATATATACAAACATACATGGTTTAATACAACTCGAATTGTGTAAAAATGAAAGAAAAACGAATTGACGGTACATTAATAGTGTGCGCTTGCAAGGTTATTCTGTTTTCGAATGTAATAGACAAAAGATTGTGTGGGCTTAACAATTTTTGTTATGTAAATTGTGTAAAAAATGTTACTTTCTAATGTGTATGTATATATATATGTAACATGGAAGTATACAAAAGTCTCGTAACAAAACGAAAAAAATAATACCCAAAAGCTTTTTTTAGACAAAAGCATTGTTATTGCAGGCGGCTTTTACAGCTAAAGTGATGGTTTATAAACGCGATTTCCATTTAAATAAATAAGTAAATCATAAATAATTTATTATTTAAGGATTTTGAAAAACGCATTTGTTTCCTTTGCTCACCGAGTACCTTTGGGTCCTAGAAGTGATATGCAATTGGTTATAAAGGGGAAAAAAAATATTTCAAATAGATAACTTTTGATTTTCCTGCAGCCCCTCAGGGCGTACGCTGAGTAGAATGAAAACTTTAAACGCGTTTTTCTGAAAATCACATTTTTCCAACTGGGAGGGCAGATTATTTGGATCCTTTTGCATCGATTTAACTGAGATTTTGAAGGTAGTTTCACAAAAACATTTTTTTTTTGGAAGTACGTAGCCTTTTTTCGTTTAAATTTAAACCTTTTTTTTTTAGTAATTTAGTGCGTATTTTATAGGCAAAAATCTTTTTAAAAAAAAAGTGGGCGGCTTTCTCTAAAAATAGTTAAAAAATAAATCTGCACGTACTTTCAAAGACCATAGTTTGTAGATCATTAAATTTTTCCTAGGTCTAGGTCTCATTCTCAAGAGGAAATCGGTCCTTCCGTGGACGTCTTTCGAAACGAAACATGTATTAAAGAATAGACTTTGTCAACGCCATAATATAAGAAAAGAATAATTAAAAAATATTTCAATATATGAAATGGTTAAATATAAGTTCTATTCCATTTCCCATATTCCAAAAAGAATTTTTAAAAATTATTTTTCAATCCCTTAATTGTACTTAATTAACGCAAATTTAAAATTGAAATTAAATTGTGTTAATTTTGTTTTATTTTTTCTTTTTGAGTTCGATTCGTTAGATTATTGATCGTAATTTTTGTAAAATTTATATTTTTAAGAAAGCAGCTGTGGTTTATTTTTGCGAAATCGTTATTGAATCTTTTTGCATTTTATTTTAAGAAATCAAATTGATAATATAGGGTAAATTTGCTGGTTACCGTACGTTTAACTATTTCTTCAAATTCACGCTCAGTTTTCTTTCATACCATATATTATGTCAAAACAATTGTTACCAATAATTAATTATTAATCTTTTAAGAATCCCAATTTGCACGAATATTATTAAGTTTTTTTTTGTAAGTCATATTTGTACAATAAGTCGAAGTTCTCTAGTTAGCAGAACGCCTTTTTTAATCCTATTTAGTAGTAATTTTTATTGAAAATAAAATGAATTTCTTAAAAATGAGTACATATATATATATATATTCATTATATTACTATACTTTCCAACAAACAATAAACAATTAATGTATGACGAGCTGCGGAGTACACCACAACATATATCCTGAAAGGAACTCGTCACATCTAAATATACATAAGACTGGGCAAAATTACCTTACCACGACTCTCCAGAAGAGGTAGTAGATCCTCATCACTTCTTAATACCTGATCGTCCGCTTCTGTTGCCTAAATAGAGAAAGGAATCTCACATACTTATATGTAATCTATCTGCCGCTGCAACAATATAGATATGTAATGTTGTACCGGGTCTGACACTCAAAGTGTAACCAATTAAAAAGGCCATAAATTCAGTTTAGAAAATTTCTTTTAATCAATTCAAGGTACAAAATGTGTGAAAATAATAAAAAATTCGCAAATATTTTACTTTCGCCTTGACTAATGGTCTCGAGACGGCTCGAAAACGAATCGCAATCGATCCGAATGTTACTTGCAGATATCTTGGTCCACACGCGGACAACGGCTATCTTCAGCGCTTCGAGACTGGTGTATCTTTAAGTAGCGTTTGAAGTTCGGAGCGATGTTTTTCAACCATTCTTGGTTCACTCGAGCTTTATGAGACGGTGACGAGTCCTGTTGAAACGTCCATGGCCTGCCACCGAAATGTTTGTCTGCCCACGGCCTTAATGCAACCTCCAGAATACTTTTCACATAATATTTCGCATTTAACTTAATGTCAGGCTCGATGAAACCGATTGCAGTTTGTCCATCTACCATTATCTGTAGCGGGTGTTGCCTCCTGGTGGTCAATGGATGATTCAAATTCTTGTTAGAACGGTCGGTCAAGTAAATCCTAACGTCAAAAAATCCAATGTTCGGAAATTAACCTCTTTCCTGATATTTTTTTTTTTGTCATTTTCTTATAGATTTATCTGTGGATGAAGGTTAATCTAGGATACCACTAGATATATCGCAATATTAACAATACTAATTTCATTTAAACTGGATTTATTAAGTGAATGTAAAGCAAATAAGTTAATACTCGATTATTTTTATTCTTTTTTCCAGCTCCAAACGAAAAAAAAATAATCAACATGGATTTCTACTACACAGCCGGTTCCGCACCCTGCCGTTCTGTTCTCATGACAGCTAAGGCGCTCGATCTGAAACTGAATAAAAAGAATATGAATCTTATGGCTGGCGAACACCTGAAACCGGAATATCTTAAAATCAACCCACAACATACCATACCCACTTTGGTTGATAACGGTTTCGCACTGTGGGAATCGCGTGCCATTATGGTTTATCTTGTTGAGAAATACGGCAAGAACGACGCACTGTTGCCCAAGTGTCCCAAGAAGAAGGCGGTGATCAATCAACGTTTATACTTCGATATGGGCACACTGTATAAGAGCTTTGCCGACTATTACTACCCGCAAATCTTTGCCAAAGCACCGGCTGATCCAGAGTTGTTTAAGAAAATCGAAGATGCCTTCGAGCTTTTGAACACTTTCTTGGAGGGACACGACTACGTCGCTGGCGACTCACTCAGTTTGGCCGATCTGGCCATCGCCGCTACAGTCTCAACCTTTGATGTGGCCGGTTTTGATTTCAGCAAATTCTCTAACGTGGCTAAATGGTATGCGAATGCAAAGAAGTCCATGCCCGGCTTCGATGAGAACTGGGAGGGTTGCTTGGAGTTCAAGGCGAAATTTTTTCATTAATTATACTCAAATCTAGTTTGTAATTTACGTGTATTGTAACTGTGTGCTAAAAAAAAAGTAAGCACTGTGGGGCAAATGTATTAATATTTGAATAAAAATATATTATTTTTGTTTTTTAAGAAAATGTTTTTGTTTTCTTTATTGGTTTATTTATTGCACATCTCACTGCTCTAGCAAATACTCTTCCAACAGGTACTTGGCTATTAGTTAAATCAAGTTTTACAATTGTTTTAAACTAATTTTTATACATTTAACTATATTCAAAATCTCTTATTAACCCTAAACGTCTCTTATTTACAAACTAAAATATCGAACTGGACTTGGCGTAATCCAACGGCCGCCGAAACGATTGCTCCAAATTGTGTAGTCGCTCCTCTAGATCGTTCATGGAGTTACGCAACACGTGGCCACGTGGACGCAACGAAATCTGCGGTGAATTCTGCACCAAATCATCCTTGACGCCTGAGAAGGAGTGTCGCACACACGAACGCTTCTCAAATTGTGTATTTTGATAATCGTGCCGGTGGTGTTGGTGGTGTTCGCATAGCGATTTGTTCAAGCCATGTGGATTGCGACAATTTGTAGCCACCAAAGGTTCGTCGTTTTTGAGCGAATCTTCATAGTTATCACTGCAATGGAGAACAACAATTAAAACAATTAGAGAATAATAAAATAATTAATATTCAATTGTTTTCTATGTACTCACCTGCTCTCGTTTCCTATCGCTGTGCCACCGCTACCACTTGTGTTGTTGTTGCTGTTGCCATTATGCTTATGTTTGGCATGTCTGGGACATAGCATTTCCAATGTGCTCAAACTCTGCGAATGCTGCGAGCTCGTTTTGAATGAGTCCGGTGAAGTTTCATACAATTCGCGACTGCTGAGAAAGTCGACGCCAGAATCTTGGCCATTTGAATGTAGTGAAAACATGGAGGTCTCATATGAGCTGGGTGAACTAGGGGAAGAAAATGTGAAATAGTCAAAGTTCTGTGAAGAGTGATTCAAAACAGAAGGCAACATCGTAATTTATCATTATTATTATTATTATTACGATTTTTCTTTAACTGTAATCCTTTATTAATAATTGGCGCTTTGTAACCGCTGAAGCGATTTTCGGCCGAGATCCTCCTCCAATTGGAGGTTTTTGCGTCTTGATGTTTTTCCAACAAATGGAGGGACCTATAGTTTATACTAAGCCGCCTTTGAAGGGCTGATGGTTTTTTTTATGAGGAGCCCTTCCTGTCCTTTACTACTTCTAAATATCTTTAGAAATTGTGAGAGTGCCTTTGTGCACCATAGAACAGCAAAAATAAATAAAAATAAACCATATTTAGGTATATAATGTTTCATGAGACTTTTGCGCCATAGCTGGCGCTGGAGAAAGTAGTACAACTTATCTGGGTTGGTTAGGGGTGTCTCATAGTAGCATCAAAATATTATACTTGGGTAAATAGACATGAACTTAAGCCTTAACGCTGGGGTCATATCAAGGCGTTTGAGATGTCCGTCTTGTGCAGATTAGTTTGTTGAAATGCTTTTTCTCCTTCTCTCACCTTTAGTATGGGCTCTAGTCATTTAGTCAGTTTGAAAGCTAACGAACCTTAGCCCTAAGTACCGTCTATGTGGACTGTGGAGATCAATCAAGGAGATAATGTCATTATGCCCCTCATAAAGAGATTCCCATCCTAATGCCAATTCTTCACAAGGCAAATCATACGCCATAGACAGGAACAGATGGTAATCACTTGGTGCGAATATAGATTATAATGTGGAAGTCTAAAAACCCCCAACCAAGCTCTCAGAGTTTCTAGTGAGTTACTATCGATTCGTGTGCTCACTCCTATTAGCTAAAGGTGGGCGCTTGTGAACGATAGCTGCCTTCAGTGGGTCTAATCGCTGGCAGTACAGGTCCGAATTAAGAAATAAAACTTTCTCGGCCATCAATCTTGGCTTGAAAATCATTTGCGCCAAGCTCACTGCCTTTCAACCACTACCGCTTTCGTTAACAAGTCACAGTCCGTTTCAGAAATGGGTCGTTTTTGATATGATTCAGCAGATATTCGCACACGGTAATTCGGTTCATGAAGTGGTTTTCTCGTTAACTTGTGAATGCCACACACATCGAGCTTCTTTGTGCATTCACACAGGCACTTTTCTGGCCTTCAATAAGGAAAATTGCTGCATTTGGGACGTAGAGCAATCTGAAGAAATTCCAAAACTGTCATTTCATATAGAATAAAAACAGCGGTTTGGTATGGTTTATGGGCCGGTGGAATCATCGGTGAGAACGTAACCGTCAATGGCGACCGTTAACGCGTCATGACAGCCGACTACTTGATGCTTGAAATTCAAGATCGTTATCTCGGCGACATTTGGTTTCAACAAGACGGTGCCACTGCCCACATGTCGCATCAATCAATCGATTTATTGAGAGAACACTTCGGCGAGCAGATAATTTAAGGTTTTGGACCGGTCGATTGGCCACTAAGATCGTGTTATATCACACTGTTAGAATCTTCGCTATGTTAATATGGCCTTGCAGCAAAACATCACGCGTGCCATCTGCCAGTTATCAGCTGGAGTGCACGAAAGAAAATCGAAAATTGTACTGAACGTATGTACAATCTGATACGTAGTCGCGGCCAACATTTGAATGAGGTAATCTTCGAAAAATAAATAGCGAATGATTACAAGCATTCCCCATTCAACTAGAATTTTCTGCGTTTTTTCCTTTAAAATCGTAGGAACCTCGAAAGGGATCACCATTTAGAAGGAAAAGGATGCAATCACATTTATTTAACATGAGCATTTTCCTAAAATATTTAAAAAGTCAAATAGTAGTTCTACTTGGTTGGGTGAAATCGAAACTTAATTTATAGAAATTTATTTAATAAACGAAGAATTATGGAGAGAGACTGACTTACCAAATGGACTTGCTGATGTAAATCTTTTACATATGCTATATATGTGTGTATTTAATGCTATCTTTCAGTGAGTTTGTATGGACATTCATACATATGTAAAGGCATACATTCTACACTAAGTATATATAATAATTGAATTTTCACTTAAAAACAAGTTAAATCCATTTTTTTTTTTTGAAAATTCCAATTGATTGCATTGCTTTTGTACACCAACAATCTCATATGCCCATACAAACACACTTACCAATATTATCTCGGTTTGAAATTCCTAAGCTTTTGTTATTTATTTTAGTTTTTTTTAATTTTATTTTTATTTTTATATTATTTTTATTTTTATTTTTGTTGCTCAATCTTCAGCGAGTTGGTTTTGAACTTACAGATTATTCACCGGCTGGCATGAATTGTATTTGAGTACAAATGGCAACGAAGTGGGCTCGTTCTCCAATGTGGCACAGCGATTAGCAGCCACTGACTTGGCAACGGATTTAGGTAGTGGCACATCGATATATTCGCGTTGTCGTTGACTTTGAAATAAGCAAAAACATGAAATAAATGCAATTTAATTTTATACTGAAAAGTTGTAGATAAAGTTTACAGTATGCAAATCGTTTTCTTATTTAAGATTTATACGGACCAATATCAAATATATGTACATCTACGTGCACATTTATATACTACATTAAGAGCAGAAAGTTTTAGGAAATTGATTTTTTCTTCGCAGTTTGGTTCATCATGAATACGTTCCAACGGGACAGACGGTTAATAAAGAGTATATTTCGGGTGTTTTGGGGCTTTTGGGTGAAAACATTCGTCGTAAACGGTCGCACTTGCGGGCCAACAATTTCCGGAAACCTTCATGACGTTAATGCGCCCTCGCACCGAGCTGTAGTTGTGGATGATTTTAAGACCAGAAACTCGTTCAATACCATCGATCAACTGTTGTATTCACCGGATCCTTGGACTTTCTTTACTTTCAAAGCTCAAGTATCACTCTACGCCTCGATTGAGAAGCGAACTGAGCACGACTAATTTCAAACCGACAGATCGCTCTCATTTTTGGCACAGTATTTAAGGACAGTGCTACCAACTTATTAAAAAAAGGAAAAGTATTCAGCGCGGGTAGTTTAAATGACAATTTCCGGTAACTTTTTGGTCTTATTGTACACAGATTTAAAAATAGAAACTTATATCGTGTGTCGTTTATAGTTACTAACAGTGTTTTATGGAAAATCCTAAGCTAAATTAAAAATGAAAAAAATTAAAATAAAAGTAGCTTTCAGTTTTAGCTAACCAAATTTAGGGTTATCCATTTCGTGGTTTCAAAAGTACAAGGCTGCATTTTGACATATTTTTAACCAAACTGTCAAACCAAATATGTGTTTTTTTTTGTTAAAAGTCAGACATTTATGAAAATGGTGGTAACCCTGCGATCTTGAAATTTCCTTTCCCTTCTCCCGACATCCTTGTCCTCACCATTAATATATTTGCTATCGCTTTAGCTTGTTCAGTTCGCCTGCTGTGTCGTGTTGAGTAAACGTGTCTCCGTGGTGCTCGTCACGAAAATAGAAAAACAAAATCAAGATCAATTCTGCGCCAAATTGATTGAGTTATTACAAGCGATGAGAGCTGTTTTTTCAATACGACCCAGAAACCAAAGGCCAGAGCTCACAGTTGTTGTCTCCGCACGCCCCCCAGCCCGCATGAGCAAGTCGCAGGTGAAAACGATGATTATTGCCCTCAGCGTGTTTCAGTATTTGGCTCCTAAAGGGATCGCCGCGTTGCAACAACTGACTTCTTCGCCCGATATGTCACGCTGTGATTATTTTTTGTTCCTTAGAATAAAATCGGTGCTCAAAGGAACCCATTTTGAGTCGATTAAGAACATACGGGCGGCCGTGACGAGGGTACTCGCGGACATCCCAGTAGAAGCACGAAACCGTACAATTACTCAAGCAAATGGCAAAGATCAAATAAAAAACTTGAAAAGACTGGATCGGTTAACAAATATTGTATGGCCTATGCATCGCCGTTGTGCTCGTTCCACCATAAATAAGTATCTCCACTGTACTTGAATTCTAGCTCAAACCCCAAATGTTTCTATTTCTTGACGTGCTCAAAAACTGGCCCCTTTCTTGCGGTATATGATAGCGTAGTTTTTACTTGAACTTATAGCTGCATCCAAATACAGTTCAGCTCACACAACAACTGAAGCCGAGTTGAAGGCTTTATATGCGGGATAAATTTCCCGTCCGCGCAATCTCTCCTCTTGACGGACTTTTCTTTTGCGGGACTGCGGATAAACCTTTAATACTTGAAAACCAACAACACCAACCAAACGGATCGAAGTTTACGAAAATTCGCAAGGCGCCCACTTGAATTAAATATGAATATTTCAAGATTCTAATTTTAGCGTTAGTTTTGAGGAATATACTGTTGTCACAAGCTGGACTTTCAAGAAACCACTTACAGCGGCGCTAGAGGCAGAAAGATGAAGCAAAGGATTCAAGATTGTGGTCAGAGCACTGAATATTTTTACAGATTGTCCTTATATGCACGCGAATAAAACTATCATTCAAGCTACCCAATGACTGCTGTAAATTCCAAGATGAGATATGTGCTATCAAAATGGCGGTAGAGCTACTGCAGGGGATAAGCCCTTGCAGAAGGGGTATACATATCTATGCAAACAGCCAATCAGCCATAAAGGCGGACGAACTGACTGCTTATTGACGATGATCCCACTTCTCGAGGTTAAATTGCAGAATCTTCAGTCTGTAGTGTTAAATGCTCACGACAGAAAGTGTAGCAGCTCTAAATTGTGTAGTGTAGTGCACTGGGTAGCACTATGGACAAAGCTTCGTCTATGTGAGAATTCCTAAGTAGGTAACCAGTTGAACTTAACCCAACCTACGGAATATTTCGAGGTGGGAACGGATTTCTTCAGAAAGAACAGAGCGTCTGACGCTTAAAGCATAAAGTTTTTCAAGATGGGCCTTTTCCGAACTCATTCCGACAAAACCATTTGAAAATAATTTTCATTATAACTTAAATTTATAAGCTTCTGAGTCACTAAAAGGTTAAGGAGACTCTTGTTAGTACCTCGTATCTTACCTTCTTTCCGAGGTTATATTCTCCAAAAACTGTCGACAGGAAAAATTATAAGAACTCAACATTCAACCTGACCTAAACAATAGCAAAAGTAAGCTAATTTTCTTCGGCAGATTAAGAACTTGGGATTCTTCAACTTGTCAGCACTAGACAAGCTTGTAGCTACAAAAAATTCAGTGGAAGGTTTCCACACTCATTACGACCTATACTGCAAACTCCATACGTGCGGCAAATCAATAAGACTAAATGGAACTCAACCATGAAGGAACCGCATGGGACACATCCAAGCTCCGTCTTCTGTTTCCAGATATACCATACAAGAGTGAAGGCGTAAATACAACAGTTCTGAATCTGAATAGAAAAGTTGGTCCCTGGGAACTGCGTAGCCGACGAACTGACCAGAAAGAGAACAGTCATAATCATGGTAAGCTCTACACATGACGAGGGCATACCGTTTTCTTCGTCAAAAGCATCTGTTAAGTCTAGCCTTTTATAGGAAGGCCAACCGCAGATATTCGTGCCAAGCCACATGTAAGACAAACCTGGTGATTAATCGAGGTAAACAGAACTAAATCTTTACTCCTTCTAAACCTGACCTACATAAGCATAAAAACCGGTGAAATAACCGAACACTGTCGTATGGGGACTGATGGTAGAATGATGGGCTGCTGCTACTCAAATAATTCTGCGCAGTTGCAGGGAAATAGATGAGGAGACATCAGTGGAACATTACCTCTGCCACTGTACAGCTCTCAGTGAGGTCCGTTATAGTTTTCCCAGAAATTTCTATTTCGATTGCCTTGTAGAGCTTGCAGCGGTAGACATTATTAAAGTACTGAATTCCATAAAACAAACCAAGTAGTTTGAACATTTGGAAAGGTTAAAGGAATCTCCTTAGCACGACCAACATAGATATCGCCACGGGCCAGTAGGCCTAAGTGCGCTTGATTGGCAGTGGAGGGTCATGGGTTTACCAGCTTTAGCGGATGACTAAGCAATGAAATGCGAACTTTTAAGCAAATTTATTAAAACTTAAGGCAAGATTAATAAAAAGTATAGAGACTTCGGAACCCACAGGGACAGCACTTTTTCCACGTTGAAGTTCACATGGTACCTAACATCAGAAAGCAAATAGCCTCTGTATACTCGTATGTTCAAATACAATAATTTCAAAAAAAAAAAATAAAAAATAAAAAACGATTGCACTAAACCATCGCTCCAGAGAACACATATACAGACTACTTCTACATGTACGTGTGTGACCTATATTTGAGCCGAATGCGAAACTAGAATGCAATCACAGGAATTTGTCCTAATTTTTTTTATTACTGCTCAGACTTACTCGGTGCCGTGTTGATGTGTAGCTAGTAGTTGTTGTTGTTGTTGCTGCATATGCCCACCATGAGTATAATGATTGAGATGCGAATGAAGTGCATGATTATGCTGACTACTATGTGGATGATGATGTTGATGTGTTTGATGCTGTTGCAGCTGTTGTTGTTGTTGTTGATGTTGTTGCTTATGCTGATGATCACTGTTTGGCGACGAGGCGACAACAGCTGTCGACGGTGTCTGAGACGAGGAGGAGCACACCGATTCTGGAATGAAAGAACTTGTGGTCTTCACCGACTTACCGCACAGTTGTATTTGTTGCTGCTGCTGCTGCTGTTGTTGCTGTTGAAATTGGAATTGGCTTTGTTGTTGAAATTGCTGTTGCTTTTGCTGCAATTGGAGTTGGCGACTGCGATGTTGGCGACAAGTGCCGGCCGCACCGACAAGGCCAGTACGTGCAACACTGTATGTGAGACCGGTTTCCGATGATGGGAATTCCGGCTGCGACCAAATGGTGTTGCTAATAAAGCGAACGGCATACCACGAACGGCAAACAGCGGACAGTGGGCAACGGCGGCGATCAAAGTCGGTAGCAAGATGAATGCCGTTGTGCGATTATGTGCATTTTTATGAGTGCAAAGATATATAAAAATAAGTATAAATGAGTTTGGTTTAGGGAAATGTGTATGTACATATGTATATGTATATTAAATGTTTTTGTTGAAGGCTCTAAAGCGATTATTGGCTAAGCTACATAGTTTATATGAAAATATGCTTATATGTATATATCTAAGTACTTGCACTAGGGTGGTCCAGCATTTTTTTCTTTTCGTCAGCTTGCATTAGTTTGGCAAAAATTAAGAAAATACTGCATAGCCTTACTTGGACACTTTTTCAGTCTTTTAATGTGTTACATCTAGTTAGAATTTAAAAAATATTGTTTTTTTTTTTTATATTTAATTATCGTAAAGTACATGTATTCAAGTAAATACTCCGAAAATTTCAAGTCGATCCGACGGAGCATTTGAAAGCGGTAAGCCGATGCGGCGCCTCGTTTTTCTCAAAATAATGTTTTTCAAGTCGGTGACCAAGATTTCACGGGAACGGCTGAACCGATTAGTTTGAAATTTTTACACGAGCTGCTGAACAATATTTTCTAGTACTTAATGGAAGCTTTTCTATTTCCAATGAAATGTTTTTTTTTTAATGCCCAATTCAAGTCTAAAATTATGAAGTAAAATTCAATTTTTTTTTTTTTTGAAAAACCGTAATTTTGTCAAAAAATATTTTTAGCTTTATCCCCACAATTAACCCCAAGATTGTACATTACTTTAACAAAATGCGTTTAATTTTTTCATTTCAGATGATTCACTTCAGAAATACAATGGTCACCGCAAAACGTCTTTTTTGGGAGGGGTTCCTGGAGATCTGCTGCAGCAGCAGCAAAAACTGTAATTTTTATAAATAAAAAAATTGCTGACTACTCTTCAAAGGTGTCATAATATGTGTACAAAGGAACCAGATAATAAAGCTAAAAGTTTCCTTGTGAAAAATGCTTGAATAGCCTCATTATTCAGGGCCCTCAATAGATGTAACCCCTTAACAATATTTAATTAAAATTGTTGGTATTATTTAATTTTTTGGAATTTTCGGAAAATTTTTTTCCGGCACAGAACGGAAAGGTGTTTAAAGCTTTCATATTTTGCAACAGACAACTTTTTCATATTTTTCAAATGGAATAAAATATTTCAGAGGGTTTGCCAATAAGAGTTGTTATTTTGGTATTCAAAGAAACATGACTTTTTTTGAGATAAATGATCGGATATATATTTCATTGTAGAGAAACAATATCAGCCAAGTGGCCACCGTACTTCTTTTTAAGAAATTTTCCATCACCAATAGCAAAGTGGCTGCTGTATGCCCTCAGTTACTTCACGATTTCCATATGTAAAGGACTTGAATTGTTGTAGACTTGTTGATGGAGATCTTATCTTTCACACGGTCCCAAAGAAAAAAGTCGCAAGGTGTTAAATCACAAGATATCGGTGGCCCAAGCGATCACCTCTTAGAGAGATAACACGGTTCGGACACTTTTTCCTTGAAAGATCGATGGTTTCGTTGCTTGTTTGGCACACAGCACCGTCTTGTTGAAAGTAAACGAAGTGCAGACAATATTTTCCAGTCACAGTCTCGCAAAAGTTATGTCTAATGACCACGCCGGACCATAAACACCACCAAAAAGTAACACGTTAGGAATAGAGAGGCTTTTCATGATTAAGCCTTGAGCTTTCCGAGCACCACATGTGACAGTTTTGCTTCTTGACGTAGCCATCGGAGTGTACAGGAGCCTCGTCAGTCAAGTTAATTTTTCGATAGAACTCTCGATCATTTTGATGCATTTCAAGAAGAGAATCAACAAAGCCACGACATTGTTGATGATCGACCGGCTTGAGTTTTTCTCTTAACTGCATTTTACAAGCCTTAAGGCCCAAGGTTTTATGCAAAATACGGTGTAATGAGGTTTGTGGCATGTCCAATTCCAAAGAATAACGAGAAATGGACAAATCTGAGATTTCTTGAACGCTCTGAGTTACAGCAGCAATCAGTTCTCAGTTGTTCTTGGATGACGTGCAGGTGTTTTATACTTTCCATCGCCAACTTGTCCCAACAGCTCCATTTTTTCCACCAATTGCTGTATTGCAGCCCGAAAAGCTATTTTACGAACCGTTTCTGCCTGGTTTTCATCATTTTATAGTGAACTTTAATCATTTGAAAGCGTTGTTGAAGCGCGTCTCGTCCATTTTTATTACTGGATTAGCTTTTACAGCTTCAAATGTGACATCTACCGGAATAGCAGGCTATTCAAAATAACAACTCTTATTGGAAAACCCTTTATATACGTATAAAATGAACGGTTTAGCGGGTTATCGGTCGAGCCACATTTCAAACTTTTCATGTGCGTCTTGATGTTGTAGTGACATATAGTTTATTCCAAGCCGCACCCTAACAGTTGTTCTACTCTTATGAAGAGCTTTTTAATTCATCTTAGAAATGAACTCGGAGATTTTGAAATTCCCTGCCGAGTGGCGACTGCATTTAACCAACATTTTTCTTTCAATATTGAATAAAATGTAAATATATACATAAATATAATATAACGTACTAGCAAATACGAGTCTCATTCTGAATTCTGAGTTCAGCTTGAACCGCAAAGCTTATGAATATTTGTACAAATGTGCAAAAAAAAAAGAGTATCTTGTCATTTTTGGTCAAATATTTTGCTGTAAAAAAGTCGTATCAAAAGAAATTTTGCGAAAAAAAAAAAAAAAATTGGTTACTTTTGGACCACCCTAATTGAATGCCCGCTGTGTGCTCTACTCTAAATAATTCTATTGCAATTTATCTTTGTTCTATTACACTTGGCCTCCAGCACCAACATGACTTTGGTCAATCTTACACAATTCGCGTACAACAACAGGTTGGCAATGAGTTGGCGTAATAAATGTCGTGGCTAAAAGAAAACCCACAAATATGGGTTGAGCATGCCAATGAACTGTTCAGCGGGCAATGTTAACCGGCTGCAAACATTGAACAGTTGTAATAGAAGAGTTGTGCTTGTTTTTTTTTTTTTGCCCATTGCATGTGGCGCTGTGTGTGTGTGCGTGTGCGTGTGTGTGTATTTGTATGATAATTATTTTTACAGTTATAAATTTTTTTGCTCAAGCTCAGTTTGTGGAAAAATGTAAAAATGTTGCCTGACGGCAAGCCATCATAGAGCGAACACAAAAGGAAAAAGGCTTTCCAGTTTAAGTCAATAAATAACGAAACCCCATTAACTGATGACAATCAGCGACATATAGTCAAAAGCGTTTGCTTTAACATATCTGGGTTAATTAGGTGACGAATGTGATCTATTCGATAAGAGCAAGAGAGTAAAAAACAAACAACCAACTCGTTTCCATTACTTCACATTTATTATTCCATGTGTTCAAAGTGTTCAAAGTGTTTGTTGTTCCTTATCTTGTACTATTAGCTTGTACTCTAAGTTAAATTATGGCTAACCTAAATATTATGTATCCTTAAATGGCGACTACTACACTAAGTATAATTATTAAGTATAAAAAAAAAATATTCGCAATATTTCTTCTCACATACACTTGTACATGTCAGTCTTAACACATTGTCAATTTCCGCATTTGATTTTTTTATTTTCTTTTTAATTTTTTACTTTTTTTTTATCTCGAAGAGAAGGTGGCTGTGTGCGCACATTTGGAAAGACTCTTAAGGAAAAATTAAATATTTTATTATTTATTTTTATTTCTTTACCGTTTTTGACGCAGACACAGGAAACACAATGCCGTCATTGCCGCTCCAATACCACATAAAACAATCAACACAATGCTGACAATCTCCAAACCGCTAATAAAATTGGCCGAATGTGTTGTGCTCCGTGCTAATTGACCGAATTCAGCCAATTCGATGATGCGCGGCATTATGCTATTGCTTTCGTATAAATCATTGTCTTGTTCTTGTTGCTGTTGCTGCTGCTGCAGCTGCAAGGTGTCCAACTGCAAGCCAGCGAGTAATCTGTAGAGCACAGAATAATGATGGAATTAATAATAAATAAAGAATTTACAGTAATGGCATAAGAAGGTATGGAATATATTTGTATCAGCATATGGACAGAATACCACATGATGCACATTATTAACGGTTGCACTTGGCATATACTCGTAAAGAACACACCGTCAGAGGTGGACGTCAACTTCGTCAACTTGAAGCAATTAGAAAAGTAGAGTCGATTATAAGACTTCGGTTCGGATACCTTAAGAAGTTCCACAGGATAAGAGACAAGTCACTTTATTTATATTTATTTTATGGAATGTCCACCCCACCGAGTGTATTTCGGATATGATATAAAGGCTCCTCGCAGAAAAACCATCAGCCGTTTGGAGGCGGCTTAACTGTAGGTACCTCCATTTGTTGGCAAAATATAAAGACGCAAAACCACAAATTGGAAAAGGACCTCGACGGATAATCGCTTCAGTGGTTACAAAGCGCCAATTATATATATTGTATATGTAATTCATATTTCTTTTTGGAAGAATTCTTTTGCTATTTTCTTTTTCTTTTTTTAATATTCTTCTTTTTCTTGAATATGATAGCCGAATCAATTATAACGCGCCACTCATTTCTTTCCCTTCGCTGTTTGGCTTCACAAAGAAATAATAATTGAAACCAGGTCGCTCTCTACCTGATCCTTCTAATGGCTGCTCCTCTACCTCCGCTTCAACCGGCAACATTGGAGCGCTGTCTCTTCATTCGCTGAACGAAATCAATATGACCGTATAACTCGTACAGCTCATCGTTACATCGTCTGGGGTATTTACCGTTGCCAATGAATCATAAATCCCTCGCAAAGCATTGCTCTCGAAACCTCCCACGGCCGCCCCATCTTATGTCAAAATCTTCCGCGCTTCTACACCATATTGCAGTACGGGAATGATGAGAGACTTGTAGAGTTTGGTCTTGTTTGTCCAGAGAGAGTTTTACTTCAGTAGCACCTATTGGCAAGAGTGATTCTGCTTTGGATTTCAAGACTGGTATTATTATTGGTGTTAATGCTGGTTCCAAGATAGACGAAATTACTTACGACCTCGCAATTATGAGTGCCGATAGTGACGTGGGAGACAAGCCGTAAATGCGCTGACAGTTTGTTTGACGGCAGAAGATATTTCGTATTGCTTTCTTATCCAGTCTGAAAAAATCATAACTATCGATGCGATTGCTAATGCCTGTGATATTAATGTCATCGTAATTGTGCCTCGTCTATTCAGCTCTCCAGCATTAGATTAAAGAAACCGCACAATATCGAACGGCTCGTCCAGCGTCCGCTTACGCAGCCATGTTTTGCGGGGGTACGAAATTCAGATGTATCGGTGTAGAGGCTGCTCCTTACTGTGCTGTCGAAGGATCTCGGATCTTTTTGATGAATTTGACGCAGAGTGAATGTGGTCAATGGCTGATTTACCAGGTTTAAAGCCACATTGATAAGGTCCAGCCAGTTGGTTGACGGTGATTTATTGTATATATGTGATTTTAAGGAGGCTTACCCGACTGTAGTTGGCGCGGACCATGGGAATTTGGGAAGAGCACACTTCGGTTCCAATCGTGGGGCATGTTTTCGTCTAACCATATTCTGCAAAGAAGCGATTTTGGATTGAAGATGTGCCAGAAGCATTGCAAGAGCTACCAATGCATCCAGAAAAAGTCACAGTTTGATGCGATTTATGGGCTGGTGGCATAATTGGACCGTACTTTTTCAAAGTTGATGCGAATTGAAACGTAAATATGAATGCTGAGCGCTACCGTGAGACGATATCAAACTTTTTTTCCCCCAAAATGCAAGAGCTTGACCTGCATGACATGTGGTTTCAACTAGACGGTGCCGCATGCCACACAGCACCCTTAACAATAGACTTATTGAGAGGCGAGTTCGGTGAACATTTATTTCACGTTCGGAATTGGTCAATTGGCCGCCTAGATCGTGAGATTTAATGCCTATAGACTTTTTTGTGGGTCTATGTTAAATCTAATGTCTATACAGACAAGCTCGCTTCAATTGACGCATTGGAGGTCAACTTTGAAGCATTTATTCGTGAGATACCGGCCGAAATGTTGGAAAGAGTATTCCAAAATTGGACTAAGCGGATGGACCATTTGAGGCGCAGTCACGGTCAACATTTGCATGAAATAATCTTCACACGTTAAATTATATCGATTCAAAGAAAGAATTAAAGCATTTTTCGAAATTGTACGTGTTTTCCTGCTAGTGGGCCATTAGCTCCGGCTGCTTTGTTATTCTTTAAGCGGCCAATAGCTATTTGAAACTCATCATATTCGAGTAAAGGAACTTTTCCATCATCATCGATTAAGGTTTAGGGCTTACCATCTCCGGATGTTATGATTTCATTGCCATTCAGCAGGCTTGCTTCATGAGCATGTTCCGGTCTTGAAGACTTCGGTGAGTTGCTGCATCTTTTCATAGAATACCATTACCGACCAGCTTCCCAAACTTGTTGTACTCATGTTATTTGGCGTATTTATTTCTTCTCTTCAAATACGTCTTGCTTCCCTCAACAGCTCTCAGTATCTATCACACCCCGCACGTGTTGTGGTTATGAGGCGGACAGGTTGATTTTTCTCCCCTAAAGTTCGATATACCTTATCGCCTCTTTTTCTGCCACTGAAGAAAACCCATTGTTTCTGAAGCGGCAGTGCGTAGGTAGTTTAAAATGCCGTTCTTTAGTGATCTAATATCGAATTACGGATAAGTGCTCTCAGTGAGCAGGAGAACAAGTCGAGTAGAAATCCGTTTGGCAAATCTTCCTTGTGTTTATTCAAGGTCGATCTTTGCTGCACAGTGAGGTTCTCGGATAATACGTACATTTAAAATACTGGTAACTTGTCTTTCGTCTCTCACAACAGATCGGTTGGTTTAATGCCTTTGTTGACGGTGCCAAGTGGGTTAATGGCTGTTTTTATGTTAGAATCTGATGTTGTAGGCAACCATCCGGCTCCGGTGAAGTCGATCAGCCTCCGAGTTATTGAAGAGGTTTTGATGTGAGAGCTGAATTTTCGAACTAGTGCACCGAAATTATCTTCTTTCCCTTTCTTGACATAGAAATCGTTAGCACATTTGGCTGGTCGCACGTGCCGCTAATTAAGAGACTGGGTACATCAGATAAATGCCCTCAAATTGTAATCATTAGAACAGTTGCCACCAAAAGCGAGGCTTCTAATCAAAGGCTTTCCGACGTTCACTGGCAAATGTACTTCTGATGAACAAACACTGCTATTATGTTTCGGCGAACCCTTGAATCGAATAAGTCGAAGTGGTTCTCACTTTTATTCGTGACCTAAGGCTCCACACGAGATGGTTACCCCATCTCTCATCAAGGTTGCTCACTTCTTCCTTTTCTACAATACAATCAACTAACATTTTTCCGTTTGCTTCAGAACAAAAACTCAATTCTTACATATTTTGTAGTTACAGAAACTTTGATTTGCATAAAAAACATCTCGCATTGAATTTAGAATTCTTTAATATGGGTTCTATTACATATAATTTCCCAGGCCTTATTTTTATTTTTTATTTCGGGCGGCCGCGGTAGCCGAGTGGTTAGCATTGCAGCATACTACCATTCAGAAGGCTCGGGTTCAAATCCCGTTGTCACCAACATCCAAAAGTTATGGAAAATTAATTTAAATAAAATTAAACAAATTTAATTGGCAGGGAATATCCGTCCGTCTAAGTGTATTTCGGACATGAAATAAAGGCTCCTCGAAAAAAAACCATCAGCGGCTTAGAATTAACTGTAGGTCAACATCTAGACGCAATACCACAAACTGCGGAGCTTGGCCGAAAAATCGCTTCAGCGGTTACAAAATATTAAATAATGCCTGGGCATTCGTTTTCCTTTCAAGAAGTCTCTCGAAATAATTTGAATAGAAGCTGGACGCGAAAAAATCTAAACATCATATCCTTCTAGACCTGTTCTCCATTAGCATAACGACGGGCATAATAACTGGACACTGTTTGATGGGGCTTCGCGGGAAAAGAATGGTATATCATTTTAATGATTTCTGCCGCAGCTGCAGGGATGAAGAAGAGGAGGAGACCATTGAGCGCTATAAAAATTTCTTGGGAAGCATTTCTTCGATTGTCTCGCTGAGATAGCCTTTATAAGTCCCACGAAATGGTTCGATCCTCTGTGAAGATGAAGACAGGAGTGTCAGCGGAATCACAATGGGTTTATGGGCCTAAGTAGGTTGGCAACATTAGCCGCATCAACTCAACTCAACTCAACTACTGAGTGTCTGTTTCGATCGCTTATCGCACTCCGATCGCTGTCTAATTCTTTGGTTGATATTATAAATACTCGTACTTTTGTTGGCTATTGAGGAACCTTAGAATAAGTTGAAGTTCTATCTTTACATAATTTCCAGTACTTCTGGTGTTCACGAATAGGTATATTAACTTTAGGGCCAAGAAGAAGAGGTTGGCCCATCAAAATTTATACCGATCCGAAAAGAATGATGAAATGAGTATTCGTACCCAAACCCTCGGTTGTGGAGATTTGAGATTTCCGTCACGTATATCATAAATTACTCATTAGCATGAATTCCTCCCGAAAAGCATCTAACAGAATGAGATTTGGTATTATATACACGTATTAGCAAAAGTCAGCGAAATCGGAGATGTGAAGTTTCGTGTAACAAATCAGCCAGAAGAGTATCCGAGAGCGTGAAATGAAAATTCACACCGAAAATCATAAAAATCCGAAAACTTCATCGTATTTCAATCGTATTGCATTGAGATATGAGCATTGCCGAAGACATTAGCATGTACGATGCGGCTGAAGAGCTCGGTGTTTTCCGTTGAAATTGTCCAACCTTTTGCGTCCTCTCAGCTATCTGCACATTATCAGTGCGAGTGACGATTTTGATATGTATGTATGTATATACGAGTATATAGCTTTCGAAAGGCAATTAATTAAGGCTCTTAATTGAAAAATAATACTTACTCCTGCAATTGCTCCATTTCCAAAATGGCATTAGTGCGATAATCCACTGCATAAATGTACGCATCGGTGCTAAACAATGATATTCGAAAACCAAAGGACGAACATTAAAAGACTTTCTTTCTAACACAATAACATAACAACTTACGCTGGTTCAAGGCCACCTAAATGCGGCTCTAATAAGCGCACACGTACATCCATTTGTATGGCATCGCTGAGGACTTGCATCAGTGCATCAATGCGTCGCTCCACTTCAACTGGTCTGCCCGCCACTACGATACGTACTTGGCGTGCCTCATCGATAATATAAACAAACACATTTACAATACTGCTACGCCCGTCGTCAGCGCCACCACGATCCGTTGCTTTCACATCAAACCCATAGACGCGTTCATCCATCGGTAAGGTGCCGATGAGACGTATTTTGCCTGTCAATTCATCGATGCCGAAAAGGCGTGATGGCTCGTTTAGTAGACGGTAGCGAATTTCAGCATTCAAGCCCTCGTCCGCATCATATGCCTTTACAATGGTCACCGGGTAACCGAAGGTAGCCAAGCGTGGCACCACAGATATTATGGCCTGCCCCGCAGATTTGAAACGCGGCTCATTATCGTTTTCGTCTTGAACATTTACAACAATGCGACATTCGTTGGGATCCAAACCGTCGACGCGCTCGTCGGTAACGGGATATGAAATTCGTGCATAGTTGCGCGGCTCGCGATTGAGACGATCGGCACGCACGCGTAGCTGGTAGCGACTTTTCAGCTCACGATCGAAGGACCTAAGTGCAAAGAGTGTTGTGGTTTTTGGATCTAACTCAAAGAGTGGCTCAGCATTGAACTCCTCTTCGTCATTTTCCTCCATAACCAAGCTCCAGCGGAATACGTCGGGATTTAAGCCATTAGTGATATTAACTTTAATTAACTGCAATGGTGCGTTGTTATTCTCCAGCACTTGCACTTCGTGATACTGGTGTTGGAATATTGTCACATTGCGTTGTTCATTTTGCAACTCCAGCTCCTCTATAGTGGGCTCCGTTACAGCCTGCCCTTGTAAATTGATGAGTACAATGGCGGTGGATGAGTGCGCAGGACTGCCCAGATCCGAGGCCACCACAGTCACATTCAAATGCTCATATTCATTATAACTACGAAAGCTTGCCACCGTAGTGATTGTGCCATCACGCGAGTCTATCTGGAAGATGGGTTTGTGTATATCCTGATGCAATATGGAATATAACACTAGCCCATTGCCGTTCCCCACGTAGTCTTTATCTATGGCGTTCACCTGCTTCACAAATATGCCAGCCTTGGTGCTGCGATCGAGATAAGCTTTATAGATCGGCAGTGTGAGTGTGCGATCTGGCACGTCAGCAATATACTTAGCCGCACTCACCATATCATCATAGCCGATAAACTCGGGCTTATTGTCGTTGATATCTATAACATTAACCTCAACATCGACGCTGCTGGACATGCGATACAACGGCTCGGCATTGTCGGTAGCAATAACTTGGAAATTATACTTGGGATGCACTTCGCGATCCAGTAAACCCGTGATCTTAATAACACCAGAATGCGTTTTGATTTTGAAAGGCAAATCTGCTTGGCTCAGACTATATGAAATATTTGCATTCTCACCATAATCCAAATCCACAGCCAACACCTGACCAAGCACGTTGTCCAGATACTCGCCTTCCTCGGTGTCGAAACTGTACCAAGACTTCTTGAAAGCCGGTGCATGATCATTCACATCCACCACCGTAAAACGCAGGCAAGTTATGTCCTTAAGTCCATCAATGTCGGTCGCAGTGAGATTGAGCAGCATATCCAAATTAGCTGCCAAAGCATAGTTGACCATCAACTCGCCACTTAGTTTGTCGATGGCAAAGTGTTTAGCACCGTTCACCCGTGGTGGAAACTGTGCACCCACAATGGGACGCTCCACGTGCTCGGCAGTTACTTCGTAATGCACAACCGCATTGCTGCCATAATCCTCATCACTTGCCATAACTTGCAACACTTTCGTGGTAATGGGTGTGTTTTCATAAATGGCAAATAAAGGACATTTCATAATGGGCTTCTGACCGGCGCCACGTCCTAAACGTTTACGTGAACGGCGTCCCCGTTGTTGCCGCATATCTGTGAAGCTGTTGTTGTAATTGAAATCGGAGTTAAAACGCGGCGAGCCCGGTATGTGATAAGGCGGCGCCACCATGGCGGAAGGTATCATATCCATCATTTGCATGGCTGAGTTGTCTACAAAATAAATTTCCATATCCGTCGTGTACTCGCGTATCTCTACCTTCGATTCTTTGAACACAGAAATGCGTTCGAAAATGGGCGCATTGTCGTTGACGTCCGCTACAAGTATATTCAGGTGCGAGTAGGTTGATAAGCCGCCAGTGTCGATGGCAATTAGCTTCAGTTTATAAATCTGATCTTTCTCCCGATCCAACGCACGCTTGCCGCTGTAGGTGACACGAAAATGTGGACCACTCGACAGCTTTATATTGGACTGCATGAGCATATTTTGCATTTCCACAAATTTAAACTCCTCATTCCACTGATCGGTTAAATTAAAAACACTGAAAGTGGCTGGCGTTTGTAGCGCATGACGCGACTTGTTCTGTATTTCATTGCTGGCATTATAGTAGTCAATCGAGAATTGATCGCTATAGTCACCCTGTAGTATAACGCGAAATTCAGCGTTCTTACCCAAATCGGCGTCGTTGATTTGTATTGGTTGATTAACCGAGATCTCTGTGCCACTGACGCTGTTCTCATTGATCAGACCCACATAGGACAAGCTATTGAATTTGGGCGCATTGTCATTGACGTCGTCCACTTCAATGGTGACTTGATATATGCCTGCGCCGCTGACCAAACCCGTTGTGTACTCAACGATCACAGTGAGATCGTACTGATCCTTGTCCTCACGGTCCAGTCCAGTTAGTGTGAGTAGTGTACCGTCTTCCGTAATGCTGATTTTATTAACCACTTCCTGTTGATTTGCGATAATGTAGCGCAATTTGATATTCGAGTCACTGGCTAAACGACGCGGTGAACGCATGCGCGGGATCGCGCCTGTGTTGCGACTTCGGCTTCGACTACGAAACCGACTGCCCATCGTTACGTTGCTGACGGTCGACTGCAGTTGTCGGTATGTGCCCAGCTCATTATTCAACACATTAATGCCATTCTTATAAAGCAGTTGACCTATAATACCGCCTACAAGATTCTCCTCAATGTGAAAGCGTATGACATTCAGATTAATTTCTCTAAGAAAAAAAATAAATTAAGAAACTCAATAGATTTTAAATTTTTCTTTTCAAATACATACTCTATTACTGGCCTTAAGGGCACCTTATTCTCGGGTTTCATGACCACATGTATGGTGACATTGGTGATCAGTACACCTTCATCGCCGAGTTCTGCTGGTGTTGGTGTAGTCGTGGCTGGTGGCGAGCTACGTGACATGACAAGAGACTGCGTAGAATTCGCAAAGAGCTAAAATGATTCGAGTATTAAGGATAAGTCACAGTTTTTTTTTCGAGTACTCACATAATTGGCCACCGCTTCGAAGAGATAGACCTTTCGGTTGAATTCGGAGAGCTCGCGTATTACTGTGATAATGCCAGAACGCTCTTCGATCGCAAACGGCACACCCTCCGAATAGGTGTGCAAGAGATCATACATGATTTCATCTTCGCCATCATAGATCAGTGTGGTGCGTACTTGCCCCACAGATGTGCCCAGCGGTGCATTGGAGCCGACCCAAAACTCATACGGCGCACCAACAAAATCAATCACTTGGTCATCGATCGTTGCGTACACCTCAATCGTAATGACGGCAAGCGAAAAACGGCGTTCCGATGGATTTATGGGCTAAACAACAAACAGCATGAAAATTAACGATTAATTGAAATATATGCTTTCATTAGAAATTTGATTTCCCCACACACCTGGTCGCTCGCTTCCACAAACACCGCCATACGACCTCGTCGCAGTGGTCCATTAACGTAAATCGTACCGTTTTTGGTATCCAATATAAACGGTATGTAGCCACTGCCTTTAGGTCGTTGCAGTTCATACAAAAGCAAGCCATTAGGGCCTTCATCTGGATCTAGTGCCACAACTTGCCCCACCTTATAACCCACCGCCGCCGTTATAGATACTTTGAATTCATACAAATTGCCATGCTCGAATTTAGGCGTGTTATCATTTGTATCGAGTAAAGTTATATCGACTTTCACTCTGCTCGGTCCTGGTTTGCGCAGATTAACATCGGGCAGATAAGGTGGATTACGTTCGATTGCTTCCACCATTAAATGCAATGATTTACGTTGCTCTCGATCGAGCAGACGATCATCGTTGACCGTAATCCAACCGGTGCGTGTGTCAATACGAAAAGCACCAGCTGCCACGGGTTCCTCGGTGAGTTGATATAAGAATTCGGCATTTTCACCTTGATCGCGATCGACAGCATTCACTTGCAGCACACTGAAGCCGGTGGGTAAATTTTCGACAATGGAAATATTGTAAAAATCCGCTTCAAATTCAGGCACATTATCATTGAGATCCAGCACCTCCACCTCAATTCTGGTAAAATACAAATATTTGAGTTTAAGAAAAAGAACTGACACAAGATTTTGTTTACTATACCTGGCGACAGCTTTCTTAAGCGGATTTTCGCGTTGGCGCGCCTCCACCTGCAGCACAAAAGTGTTTCCTGGCAAACTCTCCTCCTCTAAATCCACTTCCTTTTGCAGATATATAATGCCATTGTTCGGATTGACCCGAAAAAGTTTGCGCTCGTTACCCGAAATGATTTCGTATATTAGCGTGGCGTTCAGCGAGTCTTGATCGAAGGCCATGATCGGCGGCGAGAAATAAAGCGGTATGCGTATGGGTATACCCTGCAAGAAGTAATATAATGTAAAAAATTGGCGAAAAGATTATAAGAACCAATAACTCACCGTCATGGGATAGAACTCATTGATTTTGGTGCGATAAACACCCTCAGTAAATTTTGGTGGCAAGTCGTCCACATCTCGTATATTGATTGTGATTGTGGTATTCACCTGATTGGCTGGCGTGCCGCGATCCCAAGCGAAGAGCGGCAGCTTGAAAAGTCGTATGCCATTATCGAAATCCAATTCTTTCTTTAGTATTAACAATGGACGATGGGGACTTTTCAATGAGAAATACGGACTGCCGTCGGCGGATAGTTGTTCCGGTACAGTCGACATACTAAAGTGTACCTCCGAGTTGGGTGTATTCGGTTTATCACGATCGAATGCCTGTATTCCCTCAAAAACAATGGTGCCTGGTGGCGTATTTTCATCCACATCGATGATGTACGGTGTGTTCAGAAATTCCGGTGCATTATCGTTGACATCTTCGATGTATACAGTAATTGACATGTAACTTCCCTAAAGTGTAGACAAATTTTCACTCAATGCTCCTTTTTCCAACAACAATTTTCGAATTATTCAACGACTCACCTCTTCGAGCTTTTCATTTTTACCTGCACAGAGTACTCGGAATTTCAATAGATTTCTCGGCACATCACGATCAACCAAATCCTCAACGGAACGTGCTAATGTTATCCGTACAGTTGTTGTATTCAACTCAGTGAATCCAAAATACTTGTGGTCCCCTGAATTGTCTACACTCTTTAGGGCTATAGTTGAACGTGGATAGGCACGGAGTAAAAGTATTTCCTTGCCGATCTCGGCATCCTCTCGAAGGCGTATAAATCGCACGCCCTCACTTTCGGCGGAAACACCGTCGTACATGTGAAAAGCACATCCTGGTGTAGCTGTTGATGAGAAAAATTTTTTCATAAATGAGGTATGTAAAAAAATCAACTCCAACAACTCAACAACACGAAATTTTGCTTAATCTACAGTCGGCAACGTCATAAGACTGAATCCAACTCAACCATGGAGAATCTACGGTGGACGCCCTCAAATATTAAACTCTACACCACTATCGGAAGAGTGGAGTGTACCAATTCGACAATACTTTCTTAACCAAAATTCCAGAGAGGAAATACAGCAGTTTTGGATCAGAGAGCTGTAACCAGCTTCGCAGACGGCTCTAAGCTAGACGGCGAAATAGATTGTGGAATTTAAAAGCAAAAGACTTCCCGACCACTGCAGTGTATTTGAAGCGGAACTAACTGCTTTAGCGGAAGCTGTTTAATGGTTGTTCGTTTCTAATACATTAACCCATTGTATTACAATATATTCTGACAGCCAAGCCTTAAAGTCTCTCCATTGTAATCACATCGGCCTAAAGATGGCAAAAAAAATGCAAAGAGATCTTAAAAGAACTCCCAACGCAACACAAAATGTTCGTAGTTTGGGTTCCCTGGTACAGGGACATCCTAGGGAACTGCATAGACATCGTATTGAAACAGATATAACCACGGTAAACTCGACAAATGTGGCTTGGCAAGGCCTCTGCTAGGACTAGCCTCACCTGAAGGGCCAACAGAATATGACAGAGCGAAACCACGTGCAATATGACAAGAAAAATCTGGTCACTAATCGAGGTTAACTTAACTAATATTCTACTCCTTATAAACTGGAAACAACCGGCGTAATTAACGGACACAGTATTATGAGATCCAATGGTGGAAGGATGGGCTGCTTCTCAAACGAATTCCGCTACTCATGGATGAGGAGGAATAGGTCAAATCCGTTACCGTTTTGTCGGAAATTGTCGCTTCGATTGCCTGTTGTCATTAATCTTCTGAATTTTATTGAACATTTGGAAAATTGAAAGGAATATCTTTAAGAGGACTGATTTTGGATGGTAAAATCGATCTTTTACCCTAAAAATGAAAGCCATATATTGCATTTGTAGAGTATGTGTTTAAAGGGATTTTGCAATGTGTTGGAAAATTGAGCTCGTTTTTTCCAAAACCATGTTTTCCGATCTAACTTCAAGCCACGGGCTTGATCTATCCGTCCGATTTCTTTTTTTCTGTTCGTCTTGAACCTAAGATTAGCATTAATAATTAATTATTTATATTTTTTTCACGTAATTGAAGTGAAAAAATAGCAACTTTATAATTGCAATGAGCATTAAGCAATAAATTTACCGTTAAAATTGTTTAAATTCAGGTTTAGAACGTAGAAAATTTCATGATCTTCAAGTAATGAGAACGATTTTTGATTTCAATCTACTACAGAGGGCTGTAGGTTCGATGTCGTTAGGCCATGTTTTTCGCGCAGAGGCTAACGGAAAGTGTAATTTTTGAATGTCTACTATTTTTTTGCCGTCTTAAAATTTTAAATAATGAGTCATACCGGAAGCTCGTACGCCTTTTTATTCTCACAGGAACTTTGCCTGATTTTTGCCCAATATCAGGGGAGTGCCTTCTTAACAACCCAAGTGCAGCCTAAGTGCATATCACAAAACTTTAATCAAGCAATTTGTATAACTAATTAACTAAATATTTAAATAATAGTAAGCACATCGGTATTTTTGAGTTAGTCAAAAAGATTTGAAATTTAATCTGATGGGCAGTTGTTACTTTAAATTGATTTTAATTTAACAGAAATTAGATGCTTAAACTTTTTGTCTTCATGACAGTTTCGGCTGAGAGCGACAAACTGAAATACTAACGGGCAAAACAACTCAAGAAGGAACTCGATCTACAAATGGCGCGTTGATCTCTTAGTCTTGTGGGAAAAACATTTTTATATTTTATGTGTTTAAGCCATGGTCCTAAATAAAGCTCAGTGTTCAGTGTTCACCTAACGTTAATATCAGCGTTACTGCCACTGTCAATAGACGTTAAAGGACTAAATTACAAGACGACTTAGGATTTCAGCTAGCGCAATTAAGTTTACATGGGTAAAATTTCAAAATTTAATTACATATATACACATACATATACATTCCTTTAAATATAAAATTATTAAATAAAAATCAAATTATTTTAAAGTGTCGTACATGTATGTAGAACCAATGTTGAGTATTAGCTTCTATATATTTTGTCCTGTAACGTCAACTGTTGTTAGATTATTTTTGTAGTTAAAATTTAACAAATGTAATTGTGTACTCTGCCGTAGCAGAGTAGACTGAGGAAATAATGAATATAAATGAAGTCAGCAACACAAAAATTCTTGAAATTGATGTCATTTTGATGTCTTTTTCACACAGCACTTATTATTGGATGAGTGCATAAGTTCGTGCCCGATTTCAAGTGCAAATTAAAATTGAAATTTTTTGAAGAAAGCACTTTTATTAATCAATTATGTATTCGCCATCATGTTCGGCAATCCACTCCCAACGTTCAACCAACTTACGGATGCCTGATTCATAGAAATGGCGCGGTTTCTCGTTGAAAAAGGTGTCAAGGTGGTTTTTGACGTCTTCCACATTTTTAAATTTTTTTCCATTAAAATTGTTCTGCAGCGATCGAAACAAATGATAATTAGAAGGTGCAATGTCGGGTGAATATGGGGGATGCGGCATGATTTCCCAATTCATCTCCTTTAGTTTGGCCAGGGTCGGTTTTGCAACATGTGGCCTGGCGTTGTCATGATGGAAAAGAACTCCTTTGCGATTGGCCAAAATCGGACGTTTTTCATCAATTGCTTTCTTCAATTCGACCAATTGCTGACAATACTTGTTGGCAGTGATCGTTTCTCCAGCTGGCAAGAGCTCGAAATAGATCACGCCTCGGATATCCCACCAAATGCACAGCAGTACCTTCATCGGATGCAATCCACCTTTCGACATCGGTTCCGCCCCTTCGTGTGCCTATTTCCATGTTCTTTTGCGTTGAACATTGTTTTAAAGAATCCATTTTTCATCACCAGTCACGATCCGATCCAAAAAAGATTCGTTTTTGATCCGTCGAAGCAAAGAAGCTGTTGACATACGGTCCACTTTGTTTTTTTCACTCAACTGATGTGGCACCCATGTATTGAGCTTCAAAGTGTACCCAACCTTTTTTAAACGACGAAACGCAGTTGATTTGTTGACGTTCAATTCACTGGCAACCTCTTCCGTCGAAATACGTGCGTTATTCGCAACTGAAATCCTTAGAACATCGTCATCAAGCTCAGAAGGCCGTCCACTGCGAGGTTGATCTTCGAGGTTAAAATCTCCAGAACGACATTTCGCGAACCATTTATTTACTGTGCGGAGTGCTGGAGCACGGTCCAAATAAACTTCGCGAATATCTTTATTTGCAGTGCTTACTGTTTTTCCTTTGCGGAATTCGTATAACATAATATGACGCATATGATCTTTTTCGTTGTCCATCTTCAATGCGTCTTTTCACTAAGCAACTCAAATCAAAATGGAGTTATTTTATACTTGATTTACAGTTCGGACTGTCACCTTTCCAACGATATATAATATGTATATATTTCTTTCACGAGCGCAACTCACAGACGATTCGAACGGCATCCAGCGGAATCGGACACGAACTTATGCACTCATCCAATACATGTTGTTTCTGTTTCTGTAAAGAAGTTGAAAGAATATCATTCGGTTAATGCGTTAAACGTTGTCAGGGAAGAACAAACTGGAGACCACACAAACTGAAGATAATTCCCCTTACCCCTGGAGAAGTATTTGCATTTTTGTTGTAAAATGGGCTTACCAAAAAGCAGTATATCGATATGCATTATCCCAATAAAGCTCGTGACTGCGATATTTCCTTCCCGCCCTTTTCAGCACTTCAACTTGACAAAACTCTTTGCAGACCAATTCAAACTGGAGTTTCGGCATATTTTGCGCAGATTCCAATACAAAACCTTTTAGATCATACAACCGAAAGAATTTGGTTATACAAAAGGCTTTAATATCTCAAATATAAAATATTTCACGTTGCACGTTAATAGCAAGATACGGTCTCGATGGATCTACTGGCCAAAGCTTACATAAGCATAATTTTCGATCAGAAGAACTTGCTTCCAGGGATCTATACATTTTTGTCAGCACTTTGTAACCCTTAAAATTAATAGATGCAAATCAACAAATTATTTGGAATATCAATGCTCCACAATCTGTGAGATTCTGCAGGATACTTAAAATTGAGTAAGGAAAGGAAGGCCTTAAGAAAATATTAAGAGAAAAAGAATATTTGGATATGCAAGACTCTCGTGGTTTCATATATACAAAAGAGGGCAAAACAATTGGAATTACCTATAAACCACACATGGCACTTATTGATGGAAAAGTACTTAACGCTTTAAATGGTATGTCACCAATTCAGTGGTGCCCAATATGTGGGGTTAAACCAAAAATAAATCTCCTCTAAACCACTGATTTTGATTCGCATTCGCAATATTCCAGTTATTTTCACCATTTAAAAGATCTTATTAACATTTTTTAAAGAGTTTGTATGTAGTTTTGGTCACTATTTCATGCGAGCATTATATTGACGGTGATAAATTCAAGACATTCTAAATTATATGCTAATACTTATGCCTGGTATCCTGCGTCACTAACGGTATAAAAAATACAATATATCAGCTGACTGGCTGGCAAATAATAATCTCGTCTTGGGTTACGTTTGGATGTTTAGGAGGAAATGCTTCGGAATCAAGGAATAAGTACTATAAAAACGATAAAAAAAATCCCGAAAAAGTTGCTCCTTAAATAATATAGCTGTAACTTTTTAAAAGAGCTGATCCATTATCATCATGTATTTATTTAAGTGAAAGGCAAAAAAAAAAATTAAATAAAAAATACTTGCCGGCAGAGGTAATAAAACTTTTAAAATTCCCTCTCTACGAAAGTATATAACAATCACATCAGCAATGGAAAATTTAGATTCGGACTCTGCTG